AAATGTTCCAGCTTGATCGTTAGCAAACCGGAAAGGAAGATGGCCAAAGGCTCCGGCTTCCATTTTGACCTTCTGGTCTTGGTGGGCATGGGCGGTATCAGCGCCATCTTCGGCGTGCCGTGGCTCAGCGCCGCCACGGTGCGCTCCGTCACTCATGCCAACGCCCTCACCGTCATGAGCAAAGGAACCAAACCCGTGATCGAGAAAGTGCTGGAGCAGAGGGTCAGCGGCATTGTTGTGGCGCTGCTGGTCGGTAAGTGGAGGCGGCGGAGGTGGAAGGACGCGTGCAAGTGGGAAATAAGTCTCAAGTCTAGATGAAATAGCAAAAAAAAAAAAAAAAAACTTGGTGGATGGATCTGGGAGTGCAAACCCTAACCCAGAAAGTTTAGTCTCAAAGTACCCCGGCGCTTATTGTTTCCAAACATGAAAAGCTCTCCAGCGAAAGTTTGTTTCAAGGTTTGTCCATTCTGATGGAGCCCATCCTGAAGCTGATTCCCATGGCGGCCTTGTTTGGGATCTTCCTCTACATGGGCGTCACGTCGCTAAACGGCATCCAGCTGTGGGATCGTATGCTGCTGCTCCTCATCCCCAAGAAATACCATCCCAATGAGCCGTACGCCACCAGAGTAAGAGCCGCCCGTGGCCATGACAGCCGCCGCCCATACCGGCGGCATTTGGGGTTGGGTTCTCACGTTACACTTTGATGGCAGGTGAATACCGGGAGAATGCACTTGTTCACGGCCATCCAGATCGTGTGCCTCGCTCTTTTGTGGATTGTGAAATCCAGTCCGGCCTCCCTCGCACTTCCATTCATCCTCATCCTCACCATCCCCTTACGCATGTTCATGACCGGGCGTCTCTTTACTGAGCTGGAAATGAAATGTGTAAGTTGCTTGTCTCTTTTAATGCAACATCCTTTATGTATATGAATGTTAAATGCTTTGCATTTCCTTTGTTGCTTAGTTGGATGCGGATGACGCTAAAGTGACATTCGAGGAGGAGCCGGGACAAGATGTGTACTGGGAAACTCAGATGCCATTGTAGACATAAAGAATGGCCACTCTTCAAAACATTTTAAAAGAAAATAATTAAGGCTGAAATTCAAGGTTGCAAGCAATTGCATTCGCATTAAAAAATGGGTACAAATTATTTCTTACGGTTAATTGGTATCGCGAGATGACAAATCAAATTTGTCTCGCTTTTTTTTAATTGCATTTGTGCCTTTTCCGTCCCCATGAAAAAACTTAATATTTTACCGAAAGTCAATAAAATTATTATGAAAACCTTTGATAGTGTGCTCTTCCTTCTAACATTAACACAAAGTAATGTCTATTTTTTTTCAGTACCGTCTTTTTTTTTTTAAACATAAAACGTACATTAAATGTTAATTTCCACTTCTTTTTATTGTTGGTGAGTCAAATCCTAATCAACGGGAGTCCATTACACATCCACCTGAACGGTAGATGGCGCAATACGCGATTCTCCCTGTCATCCCGATTACTCACGAAGAAAACAGCTGCTCGTTCCTGATTGGTCACCAAAAGACCACGCCTACGGGGATTACTTCCTGCACATGTTTTCATAATTTAGGCATGAAGTGTCTTGACGTTCTGTTTACGGTGGCGTTTTCGTGCTTTTAAATCAAGTTTGCAGGATCGACAATGTGTTCAAAACTGTATTTTGAGACTTAACAACAAGAAAACACACCCTGCTTGCTAACGTTGCTCATGAGCTGGCGCGTTCAAGTCACCTACGAGGAAACCGCTGTAGTGTTTTGCGGCGGCCGGAGCCGAAATGGACACCGGTAGGTATTGCAAACTTCAACAACTCCAACTCTGGCAGCGGTTGAATGTGGCTTTCTGTTACCTTGTGTTACAAAGCGTGGACAACAGAAAATCTATTGAAGCTTCTCAATGCGATGAAAACAAACATCTCGGACGGTGACCGAATGAGAGCGTTCTTGCATGGAGTCAAGAAGTTGGACTGGGAGAAAGTGGCATTCCCTCCCTTTTCACCAAAAGATTGCCAACAAAAGTGGAGAGTTGTGTCGCACAAGGTGAGACGAATTTTTGTGTAGTGTTGTCTGCTGCTTTCGAATTTAACAGTTGCTAATGTTTATTTTTGAGAGTTCATGGTATTTCTTAGCAGCTTAGGTGATATGTTTTTAAGGCAAAAATGCCACAAAATAATAAATGATGATCTCGTCTCAATTTACTCATGAATTTACTTGCGTGAATCTGGGGGGGGGGGTGGTATTTCAACGAAAATTCTGCTGTATGAATTGCAGCAGGTCAATTGTACCTTCTGCCATCTGCTGTGGAAGAGCAAGTCATTGTTGCCCCCTTATGCGTCGTTGGTTTCATTTACATTTTTGTTTCGCGCACATTTTGTATGGTACTTAGATGCGCACATTCTTTCTTCAGATGCGCAAGATTCGAACACTCACAGAGCTTGTTGATGAAGCTGCAGATGAACTTTCAAATAGAACCAAAAAGGTAAAACCCAAGTGGGTTATTAACATGTCTTTGGTCAAATTTTGAACAGGCGCTCCGTCGTTGGTTGGCTTCACTGCAGAGATTTGCATCCAGATAGAAAATGCCCACTAAATAGACACACCGTCATTGTGATCCATCTGTCTTTTCAAAGCGCCCAAAGAAACCCGGTCCTCCAAGGATCATCTTTTACGAAGAGAACGTGTGCAAATATCATGCGCAGCACCCTGAGTTGACTCGCGAAAAGCTCTTCAAACTAATCATAGACAATTACAATGCCCTGACGGAGGAGGAGAAGGTAGGCTCAAGCCTGAATGTTCCCCGTCGTGAAGGGAACATCACTAATTTCTTCTCCATCACTTACAGGCCCCGTACGTAGAGAAGTACCAGCGTGCGCATGCACAATACAAGAAAAAGTTCAGGTACTAAATTCAACACGGGAATGCGTGCTGCTGTTGTTCAAAAAGGAAAAAAAGACATTTCTGTGACTCATTTTTGTTGCAGCGATACGGACATGCAAGAGAAGGAGAAGTGGCTTTTCAAGGACACGTCCGAAGTATGACAACATGACATTTGTAGGCTTAAATGTGGTTTTCCCACTGGGGTTGCAAAATGTTCACTTTGGAAATACTTCATGGTGGGGGGGTGCAAAATGACACATTGGTTAATCAATAAGAGGAAATTTAGATGTTGGGGAGTGCAGACTAATTTGTGTTAAATCAGACTATGCAGATTCAGTTACATTTTTAGGGTCCACTTAGCATTGCTGACAGTGTTTATTTTTTTATTTTTAAATACAACTATGGAAGAAAAAAAAAGTACATAAAAAATCTTGACGTGACCCATCTTGAATTTTCCCCAAATATTCAATGGATGCATTTCCTTTTAGGGTGAAAGCGAAAAGAGTTTGGAGGAATCCCCAGAGGACACCCGACCTCCAAAGCCCCCCAAGTAAAACACACACAAACGCCCACTGTGATAAATGAAGATGGACTCATGCTTTCTTATTACTCAAGCAAAAAAAAAAAAAAAAAAAAAGAGAACTTTTTTTTTCTGTAACTTGGATTGCCGCGCATTTTTGTCAACTTTAGCCGTGGCATGTGTGTTTGTGTGTGTGTGGTGTGAAGGAGCGGTTACAACCTATTCTGCAAAGAGCAGAGGGGGTCCATGGAGGGCGTTCCCAAAAGAGGCTACGTGAGAGAGTGGGCCCAACGCTGGCGTGACTTGACCGCCGGCGAGAGGAACAGCTTCAGTTTACGCTGCGCGACGGTATGCACGCTAACGTTCACTACGCGGACACTGCTGATCAACTTGATGCAAGGTTCTCTGCACGATCTCGCAGATGAAGACAGATTACGCGCTGAAGATGAAGGAATATCGTTTGGTGAGTCATTCATGAAATTCTGAACCCAGCGTTGAAATTCATGGGAAAAGGACCTTGAAAAAAATAATTGCGTATTAAATCGCAATATTAAGGGGGGAAAATGTCCAAAGCATTTTTCTATTGCAGAATCGTCAACACTCCGCAAGCGATCACATTGGCCCAACCAAGAAGGCTACAAGACCCTCGGTGAGTGTTGCCCCGCATGATAAGAACTGTTTTGTTTGTTTGTTTTTTAATAGTTTAGTACTTTTGTCTCCCAGGATTCCGAGGACGAAGACATTGACGTCAGCAGCAGCGATGAAGAGGAACCGTATTGGGATTGCGATGAGGTCAGGATGATGAAACAGGACTTCATATTTTGTTGTTGTGGCCAGCATTGTCCATTAAACCTTCCGACATCAATCCACAGGAGGTTGACGCCGACCACCCCGGGGATATCTGCTTTGATGTGTTTTAGATGGATGCGTTTTGGATGCTGCCATATCAAAATACCTGCAGTGACAATGTTGTTGGGAATTGCATCTTGCCCTCTTTGTGTCTTTGTTTTTGTTTATATTTATGCAATGATGCTTTTATATTTGAAATAATTGTAGTTGACTTGGAGTTATGTAAAGTTTAATAAATTTTATATTTGAATAACATGGAAAATGAATACTTTGGGTTTTTTCCAGACATGTTTTGTTTACAAAAGTCAGCTTTGACAGAATTTCACATTTTCCATAAAAAGAAATATTTTTCAAAATGTCACACTCGACAGAAAAGTTCTGCACCATCCCATTCCAAATTCAAACTGTTCAGATCATTTCGAACCTCGACATTGCACTTTTCGCAGTAAAATCGCCACCAAATATTCCGAGAGATGACACAATTTCCTCAGAACAATCCAAGGGTCACATTGTACACTTTACCACTACTTCCACGGTATTTGCATGCAATTTCCGCTCGTTTATTACTAAAATGTATTCATTCGAAGTCCTAAATAACGTGGCTCAGCGTTGACTTCTCGAGTGACGTCCCAACGTGACCGACAGAAGGTGGGGAGCGAAGACGTCGCGCTGCGATCGATTGCTTCTGTCTGATTGGAGATCTAAAGATGGATGCCTGCCGCAATAGGTAAATAAACCCAATCAAGACATTTTACGCGGTTGCTACGCACGCCCTGCTCACCGCAGACGCGTTTTAATCCACGGCGAGATGCTTGCAAAGCGGCGCGCGCGTGTTTTCACGAGATGTTGCGAGAGCAGCCGCCGCAATGCAGCGGCGTTGACTTGAGCTACGGGGGCACCGCAAATCTCGACGGCGAAAGCCATTCCAGGGAGGCAACCGCAAACACTTTGGAGTCGTATCCTTCACGTTAACACGGTGAATGCTACGTTCGAAGCCCGTCGCGTTCCGTTAGCTCGATTAGCTTGTAAACCGCCTTGTTGTAACCTGGCGTTTCCAATCCTCTCGCTTTCCTTTGTTTTGTTCTGCCTGCTTTTTTTTTTCCTCCAAAGGGGGGCGGAGGATATTTGAGGGTTCCATCCAGTCGATGCGCCGACGTCAACCTAACGTGCTTTTTAATGGTCTTCATCCTCAGCATATAGACGTGGCAAGTGGAAGACCGGCGAGAGAGGGGAGCGCAAAGCCTCGCAAGTGATCTGACGTGCATTTGTGAGTACAGTACTGTATCTGGCAGTACGTTCCATTCATGTGATTGAGAGCCGGTCGCGTCAACGTCAGCCTCCTCCACCAATCTCCGCAGCCCTGTTTTGGCCGAGGCTTGCTGAGCTGCAGCATGACCACAGCAGCGACGGCTCATCTGGTACTTGTGGCAAATGAAAATGGAGGAGGTTTCAATGTCCGGCCTGGACAACGGCAAGCTGGAGGTGCAGTCAACTTGGAGAACAATGCCGAGGGAGGGAGTGAGTGAGTTTCTCAGCGATGCTTGGTTTCCTGCCACCAACAGGGCCTAGCTCAGGACATCCTGTCTGACCTGGTGGAGGATGCTTGCCTGGGCCTTTGCTTCGAGGTGCACCGGGCTGTCAAGCAGGGTTATTTCTTCCTGGATGACACGGACCAAGAAAGCATGCGAGACTTTGGTGAGAATGTCTGCGTAGATGCTCAGCGGTACAGCGGTGACAACTGGCCTCTTGCAGAAGGATGTTATTAAATATGTAATGCTTATTATTTTGAAAACTTGATGTGCTTGAGGAAAAAAAAACATAATGAAATTTCCTCAACAACCAATAATAGTGGAGTTGCCGCCTTCCAACTTTTGTGGCTTTGGTGACGGCGCGTCTCCTCAATCCACGTCTGACTTGACTGTTCTTCCCCCCGTGTCCAAACGTGAAGAAATCGTGGACCAGCCGGGCTTGGATGTGTTCGGCCAGGTTTACAACCAGTGGAAAAACAAAGAGTGCGTTTGTCCCAACTGCAGCCGAAGCATCGCCGCCTCGCGCTTTGCGCCGCACCTGGAGAAGTGCCTCGGCATGGGACGCAACAGCAGCCGCATCGCCAACCGCAGGTGAGGCCTCAAAAAGCAAACCACAGAGCAGGTCTTTTTGAAAGCCTTTGTCAGGTCGTGACTGTTGTTTTCACACACACTTTGCACCAAGTAAGCATTTTTAAGGTGACATATAGCAAAAAAATTAAACGATGACTCAAAACATGCCCGCGGACAGACAAGTAAAATCATACATTATTGGACGCAGGGATGGTAAAACGTGCGCTAGCTTAAACTATACGGTAGCATGCATGCACCCTAGTCAGAGTGGGCTCCTCAGATATGATGCCGGCTTTTGCGAAAGCTCGAACAGGTGTGGGCAGCATTATTAGGCGCCCCGTCCATTTTGGAGAAAATCAGAGACTTCTTATGGTCGTGAAAATACGCTATCTTTTCTTATCTTTGTCTTATGTTGTAATTTGTTGTTGAGTAAAAAAAATGCTAATTTGAAAACAGCCAATATCGTCCAATTATAATTGGTCGGGCCTAAATGATGATGTGCATGCGTCATGGCACGTTCTTCCCGTTTTTCCAGAATAGTCACAGGTAACAACACCAACAACAAGTCCGAGAGCGACCAAGAAGACAACGACGATGTCAATGATAACGACTGGTCTTACGGGGCAGAAAAGAAAGGTGCCGCTTTTCTTATTTTATTTGCTTTCTAAATTGTATTACCTGCTGAAAGTGTTTTTTGTCCCCGACTCACATCTACAGCCAAGAAAAGAAAAGGTGACAAGGTACGTTTCTCATTCTTATGTTTCTCATCTCTGTCTTTTGAGGCAGTGCCGTGTCAATTTAATTCAGACCTGGCAGCGATACGTTTTAAAAAATTGAGCTCTGTGTCACTTGTTCCCCTCCACTTCAGAATCCAAATTCACCAAGAAGATCCAAATCCTTCAAGCATAAGAGCAGTAAGTTGAAATCAGCCTTAATGGATCATGCTGCAAAAACAAAAAAAACCCCAAAAAACAGACGGCTTTCAAAAGCTAGCTGCAACATAATGGTGTGCATTTTATTCTTGCGATTATTTCCCCACAGGCATGATGGGTCCTCGACGTCGCATGGACAACCAGGAAAGCCCGCGCATGTTGATGAAAGATGAGGCCTTCCCTCAGTAATGACACATGGACAACCAGCAGTACTCGATTGTGGTGAAAGTATTGCGTTTTACAGTGGCTTGTACGACGACTACTGCTCAGACCTCCCACTTAGTACTTGACAGTTTTTTTTTTTTTTAAACTACCCGAATCATCGTAAAGACACTGGCTTTTTAATCCTCTCCTCGCTGGAATTGCTGTCACGGTTATAATGAATCATTTGATGTATGATTTCACTACATATATCATGCAAGGTATTGTCAAAAAAGAAAAACTGAATTACGCAAGCAAGTGTGTGCGTATTTCAGCTGTTCGTTTTCTTCCGGAAGAAAATAATGTCTAAGGGTCACATGACGTTTCAGACAATCACTAGAAATGGTTTGGCTTCTGTTTTCGCGCCTCTGTGTGTGCATGCGTGAGTTTGAAGGAGAAACAACTCACTCACCAGCGAGTGCACATTTATTGAACAAGCAATTGGTGGCGAAAGCAAGTGTCTTTTTTTTTTTTCTTTTTTGGGTGGGGGGGTACTTGAGTTTTAGGGTTCAAACATGTCTCATGTGTTTACAGTGTAAAAGGGTTGCACAAATCCTCAATTGTGATGTGATAGTGTAAATATTCCGATAGTTGAATTGCTGCTATCCTGGCTCAGTTTCTTTCATCTCTCTAGCATAATAAATGATTTGTTATTTGTCTTTTGCTTTTGGGCTCCAATACAACGGGGAAAATACTTTACTGCTGCTTAGATGCCAACAACCAACAGAGGGCGCTGTCGAACCGACAAAGGCCCATTCAAAATACAATCTTAAGTGTTAATATACGTCTTCCACAAAAAATAATAATTTTTAATCGCGATAATTTTGCCAGTATGAATGACCAGAAAGCAGGGAATAGAGGCGAAATTTATTTTTTACGTCTCATTTGCAACGAGTTTCTGTCAACAGAATGGTGCTTTCAAGTACTGCTTCCAAAAACCCCCTACTTTAAACTTATTGAACATGTTTCTGATAAAAATGGTGGATGGATAAATTATGAAGGGCGATCGTAATTACTAGGGAAATTAGCGGCGCTGATTTTACAGTAGAAAAAACAACAACATAAAACTATGCTTTGCTATGGGAGTGAGAGTGAAGCGCACAGGCTTTCCAAAATCCGATGTTTTGTGAACACAGCAGCCGACATAAGGAGATCTTTCCTTTAAAACGCTGCGGTAACGTCGCTGGTTGAAAATGTTCAGACTACATCGGAAGGGGTCCAACATCCACCGCAGCTCAGTGTTCGGATAAGAATAACTAGTAGTTAACAAGAAGCCCGAAATTGGACGCGATTCGAGTAGAACCGCGCTTTTTTTCTTGCTTTGTTTTGTTGTTGTTGTTGACCTTACGCGCTGTCAAACCAAGTCACGGTAACGCAAACTTTAAAACTTCGAACTGACACGTTCACTCAACACCAAGTACGTTGGAGCAAGTTTTTTTTTTCGTTTTCCCCGTGACTGGAAATCACTAAATGTCGACGAGGGGAAGCTTCGCGGGTCCGACCATGAGCCCCAGCCTGAGCCCGATGAATGTTGGACTGGCTGCCGGCTTGAGGATGCCCGGGATGCCGCCAACTGCGGCGGGATACCCCCGCTCCTTGAGCGGCGCACAGCAGTACACGCAGGTTCGTCTTTTTGCTTCGTTTTCTCACTTATATTCGGTTCGATTTTGCGCAGTAAAAGTTATCCGAACGTTTTTCTGTCCACGTTCGGAGTTTGCTTTGAAAAAGAGTTGTTTTTATAACGCTGAAGGAGAGGCACTAGCTGTGTGTCCCGTGCTTCTTCCGCATTTGAAAGGAACTAACTCAAATGGGTTTAGCGCACAATTCATGAAGAAACTTTTTCAACCTTTTTTTTTTAATCGTTCAAAAGACGGTGGCTCTTTTGGTGGAAGTAAAAATAAAAGTTTAACACCAGCACCGTGTTGTCAGCGAGCCTTGCAGTTGTCATTTGGGGCAAGCAAACATGTGGGGCAATATCACTAAAAAGTCCCTTGGGTGTTTGCATCAGAATCGCTCAGTCATCATGAAAATGGAGCAGAAGAATGAAACGTTGAGGTCTTAGAAAGTGGCCAAACGCTGTGATAAGTCCCCTAAAATGTATTTCTTTCCTTCTATACCATGTCTTCCAACTGCCCATTAAGTGACCGTCTGACATTGTCTCCAATGGAGGTTGGAACAATGGCTCGTTGCAGAATAATTATCTACATTTAATGTTTCGTCATTTTCATCATAGTATGCCTGTAGTTGGATGTTGTCAAATATTGTCCACCCTTTTTGCAAGCCCCCGTAGTTTACCGTACTGTTTGCAAAGTATCCGTTTTCAAATGCAGGGAGTAAAATGGCAAAGTTGACAGAAATATAAAGACTCCAAGTACAGATACTCATCAAAATTATTTGGAGCTCGTGGGGAAGTTAGAAGTAGTGGAAAACAAGTGTTATAATGTCTTTTGTTGATCGTTTTTCACGTTCAAAATAAACATTCAATCATAAAGAGCCATTATTGTTTTTGCAGCTGATCATCCTTCTAAAACACCGCTTTTCCTTTCCCCTTGCCAGCGTCCCGGGATGCCACTCGGCAGAGTTGGGGGCCCAATGGGTTCGATGGGGGGGCACCTTCCCGGTCCCTCATACGGCAGCAGCAGCATGCCCATGCGGCCCACCATGGGGCCCCCGGCAACCTTGGACGCCTCGCGGAAGCGCTTATTTCATCACCACCACCAGCAGCAGCAAGAGGCGCTGGGAGGCCACCGGCGCGGGTACGGACTGAAGAAGTGAGAGTGTGTGATGCAAGAAGAACTAACGGTTCTTAATAAATGTGATTGCCCAAGACAGACTGTGGAATTGCAACAGACTTTTAAACTTCTCCTCGGTGTCATCGAAGTGACGCAATCAGGGCGGTGATCCAGAATGCCTCGCACTTCGATATTCACATTGACACCCAGTAGAGCAAAGTGTCATCGTAATACGAGTCGGTCTATCAAGTACAACGATTGAATCGATTGAGTGTTCATTTCCCTTGCCAAAAAGTCATCGACCTCAATCACTGCCCTGCAGTACACCACCATTTTGTGTTTGGATTCCACTAAGCTCATATCTCCATTGTGATGAGCTAGCAACGCCTAATAAGCAATCGGGCCGTAGCCAATTTCAAAGAGCAACGTCCCGAATGTCCATTGCAGCCTGTTTGTCGAGCACTAAACAGTGCCCGTATCTCCAAACAAACGGTCATCGCAGCGTCCCGTGACTGGAGACTGGTGGCTATTTTGGACTTGAAAGCGCTCTGCGATGCCACGCTCATAACCGCGGCGAGCCTTGAGGTGAGGCTGTGCTTGCAGCCTCCTCCACAATGAAGCTCTTTCATGGCCTGCCGAAGTCTCTGCGGAGAAGAATGAGTGCGCCCAAAGCAACACTTTGGGAGTCTTCCGAGAATCCATGAACAGATTCATAAATAGGTGGAGCTGCGTCATGAAGCGCAAATAATTGCCAGACTATTTATGTGTGATGGTTTTGCTGAACAATGATGTGTTTAACGAGTCATAGGAAATGTGAAATCATGTATCAAATGTTAGTTGGCAGTTGATGAGCATAATCATGTGGGCCTTTTTTTTTTTTTTTTTCCATTAGGGCAAAAAGACGCAAGATGGCTGACAAGGTTCTCCCGCAGAGAGTAAGAGACTTTTGAACCTCTGGGAATTTCTTCTGGGAATTGTCAGTGGTTATTCTCTAAAAGCGTACATCCGTGTTGACGCCGTAGATCCGCGACTTGGTGCCAGAGTCTCAGGCCTACATGGACCTCTTGGCCTTTGAGAGGAAACTGGATCAGACCATCGCCCGTAAGCGCATGGAGATACAGGAAGCTATAAAGAAGCCCATTATGGTATGCAGCATCGCGGTGATATTACAGTATTCGCACACTTACCTACAAATCGTATTCAGTGAACTCCATGATTACACATTTATTTCTCGCTATGTTTCAGCCATTTAAAGTTAGTGTCACGTGCTGTAACTGACAGCATCTTTGTGACGGCTTCAACCCCCCCTTTTTCTCCCCCAAAAAATCTGCTTGTAATTTCTCAACCTTCACTCTTGATTTAGCAGACGCCAGCTTGTCTCACAGCTCCGCTTGTTTGTTTCCTTTTTGACGACGCAGCAAAAGCGCAAGCTGAGGATCTACATTTCCAACACGTACACCCCGTGCAAGCCCGAGGGCGAGGAGACAGAGAAGGTGTCCTCCTGGGAATTGCGAGTGGAGGGAAAACTTCTCGAAGAAGTAAGTCAATTCCACTGCAATCTCCTTTCCGGGCGTTGTATTTCTGGGCTCCGTTGTTACGTCTCCTCGCCGCGGCCGGTTGGTTAGGCCGGCGCGTCCAGATGTGCGTCGAGCGCGCTCCGCGCCGGCACGCAGGCCCCTGCGCTCGTTTTAAAAGGCGGGAATTGAAACCGCAGGCCCTTACATACCATGAGGCTGACATGCCTCTCCTCCCGCCATCAATTCCAGCACCACTGGCGGTGTCATCTGGGGCCACATGAAGGGGATGTTCAGGCATGCGGCTCGCAGGCCAGAGAGGATGTCAGAGAAGAAGTGAAAGAGGTCGTGTTGTGCAAACATGCTTCCACGGGGCTGGGGAGGGACCGAGCGCGCTCGCGGCTTTTTCTGTTTGTCTGCACTTTTTATGCTTCGCCGCCCCCAATTTGGTCAGCGTGCAGCAATGCAGCTGCAAACGCTGCAAGAACTGCAATTATAGAAACAGCAATGAACTGAGGCTTTATTTATATGACATTATCTTGCCAGTACAACAGGAAAACTTACACAGTTAGCTAGATAGATAGACTTTTATCTATATCAACTCAGTGTATCATTATCTAGTGTTTTCTGTCTTGACGTTCTCTTCGGCGCTCTGTGTACCCCAGCCTGGCAAGCAGAAGAGGAAGTTCTCATCTTTCTTTAAGAGCCTGGTGATCGAGCTCGATAAGGAGCTCTACGGACCCGACAACCATTTGGTGGAGGTATGACATAACTTTGCAAGTATTCCACTTTGAATTCCAACATGTGGAGAGCAGCACTGCTTCTCGCCAGCCTGACTTGACCCGAAAGTGGAATTCAGCTGGAATCGTTAAAAGCCTTTTTGGGAACGGCCTTTGTTTGACGTGGTTCAGGCTCGGCGCTTGGGGATCTCCCATCTGGACGATGGCCTGACGCCATCAGGCCGAAAACATTTGATTACAACACATCAACGTTCAACGGCCCTTTTCAAAAAGAAAGATTTAGCAAGCATGTTGTTGGTCTTGTGGTATTGTTCATTTCACCAATATAACCTTAAATACTGTGATACATAATTGCTGTTCTTCTTTTGTTCGCAAAGTCATTGAGAATGAATATGCAGCACCTCTGGTGGTTGCAACCAAGTACTACATCCCCGTCCGCCATCAATTTCATCCAAGTGACTGAACGAACAATCATTGAATTGTCCGTAATCAATGAAAGTCATCGAATTTTCTTTTCTGCTCTACCTATAACATACATAGACAATCATATGTTAATCGTTTCATCTCTTTTTATTTGGAATTGTGTTTATTTTTATTTGCGTGTCAGTTCACTCGTTCTCGTCAACAAATGGACAGAATGACACTTTTTGACGCTCGATACGGAATGTTATTTATTCAACATATTTCTTGTGTCAGTGGCACCGAATGCCCACCACTCAGGAGACGGACGGTTTCCAGGTCAAAAGGCCCGGCGACGTCAACGTCAAATGCACCCTTCTGCTCATGCTCGACCACCAGGTGGGTGCGCTCCTTCGCGCCGCCACCTTTCTCATTCATCATTTTGAAAAAAAGAAATACTCAACTGTTTTTTCTTCCCCTCTTTTTTTTTTGCACAGCCGCCGCAGTACAAACTGGATCTGCGGCTGGCTCGGCTGCTGGGCGTGCACACGCAGACGCGGGCCAGCATCATGCAGGCTCTTTGGCTCTACATCAAGAACAACAAGCTGCAAGACAGCCATGAGAAGGAGTACATCAACTGCAATCACTATTTCAGAAAGGTCGGGCAAGAACACGGCACCCAAGCGCGACTTGGACGGCCACCGCAGCTTGTTATTTCACCTTGAGTGTACTTTTCTTTTCATGTGTAATACCGATCAGATATTTGGCTGCAATCGCATGAGGTTCTCTGAGATTCCCATGAAACTGGCCGGGCTGCTCCAGCACCCCGACCCCATCGTCATCAATCACATGATCAGGTATGTTTGCTAGGATTGGAAGTTCTCTCTTGAGTCCAATATTTTTTTGTTGGGTGTCACAATTTTGATTTCTTTCTCTTGCCAAATATGAACCTTGATCGACCGTTACGATCTGCTGGTTCGCGGTTTGGTATTTGTGAATTTGCATTTCAAATTAGCATAGCAAATTAACACTTCGCTATTTGCTCTTTTGTATTTTGTCGCCATCTCTTGTAGTGTTGTTTTTTTCATCTGCGCATGTTTGAGAGAGATCCTGCTCTTAAACCATTTCCTCGCATTGTGCGGGATCGCCAAATAGTGAATTGAATGACTGCCAATAATAGCGTTTGTGTGCACGTTTGCCCATGTGTGATGTCCTTTGGCTTTTGTGCAGCGTGGACCCCACTGACCAGAAGAAGACGGCTTGCTATGACATCGACGTGGAGGTGGACGACCCGCTCAAGAGCCAAATGAGCAGCTTCTTGTCATCCACCACCAACCAGCAGGAAATCACCGCATTGGAGACCAAGGTCCACTTAACCGCCAGAGCTCTCCTGTGAAAAAAAACAAAAAAAGCGTAACACTTTGCATTTTCAGATCCACGAGACCATCGAGTACATCAACCAGCTGAAGACCGAGAGAGACTTCATGTTGAGCTTCAGCAATAATCCTCAGGACTTCATCCAGGACTGGCTCAAATCTCAATGCCGAGATCTGAAGGTGAACATTGTCATTATTTATTTTTTTTTTCTCTAACCACAACACCCATTTTGTTGTTTAAACTTTTTCCCCCTCCAGGTGATGACAGATGTGACCGGAAATCCAGAAGAGGAGAGGAGGACGGAATTCTACCAGGCACCGTGGATGCCAGAAGCAGTCGGCAGATACGTGTACTCCAAAGTACGTCAGTGTGCCAAACAATTCAGCTCGGCAGTTATACTTTTGAAATGACCTCCTCCCCCCGCTCCTTTGCCTTCAGGTGCAGCAGAGAAGACAAGAGCTGGAGCAGGTTCTTGGGATCAGGCTCACCTGAAGAGCGAACACGTTGTCTTAACTAAGATTGAGTCAAAATTCAAATGTTTACATGCCTTTCTGACATTCCTTAAATCAAGTATCATGCACCCATTTGTTTAAAATGTTTTTTTTTTTCTTTCCAAAAACCGAGATTGTTTGTCATTTTGAGCCCATCGACTTGTTTTGCATTTTTTTATGATTGTTTATGGTACTGTGTTTCTTACCGGCATGCTTCATTCCAAATGGTGTCTGTTTACCTCTCATTATTTGCAAGCCATATCTTGTTGATCAAACGAGAGCATTTAAAGGCATTCCAAAATGTATACACAAAGGTATATTTTTATTGAGAGAATTGTGAATATATACTCTGAAAGAGCAAAGTAATACTTTTCTTAAGAGTTTTTTTTTAACCTTAAACTTCCTGAATGTTTTTTGAGTTACAACAAAAGGTTTGAAAAGTTTTATGTGTAGTTCATTTTACTTCGCTGCATGAACCGGCTCATCATTGAAATGCTTTTTTTGTTGCACCGGGATCGCTTTCACTTACTTCAACATTCCATGTTCGCAGATGTGCCAAAACTGTTGAGAATGTAATGTTGGCGTACTTTTTGCAAGGCGGTTAAAAATGTGCATGTTGTTTTAAGTTCGAGCCAAGTTCTTTATCTTTTATACATGTGGGGAATTTTTTAATAAACGTAACGACAAATGTCCCACGACTGCACCCATTTTTGTGCTTTGTGACTGGTAAAGGAGCTGACGAGTCTGACGTTGCGCTATGAAGGTGCGTGTTGGGACAAGTCAGAGCTCAGGCGCTTCAACCGTTGAAACTGGTGGAGCAGGTCCTGCTTGGAGTTGTATTAGATTACTTTTTAAAACGACCACACAAAAAATACACAATGAACACGGGATCATGTGTAACCATACAAAACAATACTAATGGAAACTAGTAAAAACATGAGTACATATAGCCTTAATTGAATATAGAAAATGGATTGGGGCGTCAATTTAAAAGTGGTAGATGATGAAGTATCCATTTGACGGGTGATTTACAATACTGTAGCTCTTATTTTGGTTTGCTTTTGACCAGTTGATGGCGCTGTAGGCATATCAGCTTCCGTTCACCTCGCAGGAAAGATATTTCAGGAAATGCGTCACTGCCGAGCGGATGCCCGCTTTCCAAGATGGAGGGGGACGGCACTGACAATGTAGGTAGACTTTCTGGCACTTTTGAACACTTTCGTCCGAAAATTGTCTTTAAACGTCGGTGGCGGGCTAATATTTATTTACTCTCGTCACTTCGAATAAATCAAAACTGTTATTTCGAGTGTAGTTGATTGATTTTACTCGGCTTGGTTCCAAACAATGTTGATCCCGGTTTGCTGTATCATTGTGGCTAGGCTAGTTGACGAGTTAGCTAGCGCCGTGGCCACTTTGCGTCAATATCCGCATGTCTTTTTTTGTTCATATAACCCTCAACATGTAGCCTCCACTGCTTGCAAATATATTTACTTGGCTTTCGTTGGCGCTGTTCGTCGGTCCGCTGGATAGAGCACGAAGACGGTACGTGAGCGCTTTACTTGTCGCTGACTCACTTTGCCTTCACTTGCATTACGTTTCGAAACATTTTTGGATTTCCACTCGTTCGTATGTCACTATCACCGCACTTCTGTATTTGAAGACCTTCAATTATGGCTCTTACAAATGAGCAATAGAACTGTCAGGCCTAGCGCATGTGCATACTGGGCGTACTGTATTGTCAGCCGTCAGTGACATCATTTTCGATGTGGGTAATGATGTAATGCCTCAGTTGAAGCAATCCTTGCGAATAAAGGAACCCATCGAATATGATATACTGTCTAATCCTTGATTTATTCATGTAATGTTTTTCCAGATGGAGATGGGCGAGAGTAAAGGTGGATCAGGTCTCCGCCAGTACTACTTATCGAAAATAGAAGAGTTACAGGTAAGATGGTGTTACGTTTTGCACAATTCTGTCTCTTGAACCTCCTTTTCGTTTTCAACAGTTGACCGTGAACGAGAAGAGCCAGAATCTCAGACGACTGCAAGCGCAGAGAAATGAACTCAATGCTAAAGGTGCTCCCAAATCCTAATGATCATAATCTTAGTCATAATAATAATCCCAAATTTTTGTGTGTCAGTGCGTCTCCTCCGTGAGGAGCTGCAGTTGCTTCAGGAGCAAGGATCCTACGTAGGAGAAGTGGTCAGGGTCATGGACAAAAAGAAAGTTTTGGTCAAGGTACGGGCGCTACATTTGGTACAAGAACACACTTAGGACACACAAGTAACATGTATTTATTTTCCTTTTTATTTTTCTCAGGTGCACCCAGAAGGGAAATTTGTGGTTGACGTGGATAAGAACATTGACATCAATGATGTGAGTATTGTCAGTTTATTTATCGTTTGCAGTACGTCATGTCAAATCGTTTTCACATTGTTATGCTTGGATATGGAACAAATTTGGGATTTCAAATTATATAAAGATGGAAAAAACCGCGATTAGCTTGTGCACTCGCCCTAAACAAGAGGCTCGCACAAAGTGGTGTGACATCACACACGGGCCAACAAATTTGTTCACCGGCATTTTAAACAAACGCTATTCAGCCATGAAAGTCTCTTGTGGCATTTACACACACACTGTTAGCGAATACAATACTTCGTTGCCTGCTTGGGCGGAGAAGGAGAAGCCGACTTTTCATTTGGCCTTTCTGTCCCAGGTGACCCCCAACTGCCGCGTGGCTCTTCGCAACGACAGTTACACGCTGCACAAGATCCTCCCCAACAAGGTGGACCCTCTGGTGTCCCTCATGATGGTGGAGAAGGTCCCCGACTCCACCTACGAGATGATCGGCGGGCTGGACAAGCAGATCAAGGAGATCAAGGAAGTCATCGAACTTCCCGTCAAGCACCCGGAACTTTTTGAAGCTCTGGGCATCGCGCAGCCCAAGGTGAACAAACGCCCGGGGCGAGGAGAGGGCGTTCCAAACGGAGGGACCCTCTCTGATAGCGCGTTTGCCGTGGCTTTAGGGTGTGCTGCTGTACGGACCTCCGGGGACGGGAAAGACCCTGCTCGCCAGAGCTGTGGCCCACCACACCGACTGCACCTTCATCCGGGTGTCGGGGTCCGAGCTGGTGCAAAAGTTCATTGGGGAAGGTGAGCGGCTAAGAACAAATATCGCCCGATACGCTCCGTTTCCGCGTGAAGCCGAGCGTGAATTGTGTCCCCAAGGTGCTCGGATGGTGCGCGAGCTGTTCGTCATGGCCCGGGAGCACGCGCCCTCCATCATCTTCATGGACGAAATCGACTCCATCGGCTCCTCTCGCCTGGAAGGGGGCTCGGGCGGCGACAGTGAGGTGCAGAGGACCATGTTGGAGCTGCTCAACCAGCTGGACGGCTTCGAGGCCACCAAGAACATCAAGGTGGCGCCCGCCGCCTGTCGGCTCACTCGGGGGCGTGGGGGGGAGATACCGTTCTACCTTTTCTCAACGTGAACGCTTTCTGTGCCGCCGGCAGGTCATCATGGCCACCAACCGTATCGACATCTTGGACTCGGCTCTCCTGCGGCCAGGAAGGATCGACAGGAAGATTGAATTCCCTCCTCCGAACGAAGAGGTAGCCGCTCTCCCACGTTACACTTGCGATGTTGCGCCACGACAACTTCATTTATTTGTTGATTTATTGTTGTGGGTTAGGCTCGTCTCGACATCCTCAAGATTCACTCCCGCAAGATGAACCTGACGCGCGGCATCAACCTGAGGAAGATCGCCGAGCTCATGCCCGGAGCGTCGGGCGCCGAGGTTAAGGTGAGCGCTCGCTTCCTGACGTTTTGCGCGTGTGCTCGCGCTGTGTTGTTGAAACGCGCGTTGTTGTGTGAAGGGCGTGTGCACGGAGGCGGGCATGTACGCCCTGCGAGAGAGGCGAGTACACGTCACCCAGGAAGACTTTGAGATGGCTGTTGCAAAGGTGGGTCAACTTCTCTTGTGACGTTTCCGTTCTCAATCAACCGAAATGTGACAAGTTCTTTGGTCAACGTGTTCCTCGTGTTTTGGTTAACAGGTGATGCAGAAAGACAGCGAGAAGAACATGTCCATCAAGAAGCTGTGGAAGTAGCGCTCTCGTCTTTTGTGTTTGCGCACACAATGCAGCCTCACGTGTATATTTTCCCGGTTTTGTTCATGGTTCACTTTCTAATTGTTGCATTTGTCTTAGAATAAATAGATTGCTCACACCCCAAAAAAAAAAAAAAAACGTCTGAAAAGTTTTGTTATCAACAGCAAACATTTAATATGAGACAACTAGCTGCCGCTGAGCACGTTGAACAATCTTTGCCAATAGAAAAGTGGAGCATCGTTTATTTGGCACTTGCAGCAAGTTGAAGATTTTGGAAAATTCCCATCTGGAACATTTCACAAATTCCCCTCGGAAACGTACCGGATATTTTCCACCCTTTGGAATTCTCGCACGGTGCCGTCGCCGTTTACATCTGCGCTCGCAATCTCAGTCGAAACAAAACACACTCAAGTGCGGACCGCTTGGCAAGTAGACGAAAATGTTGTCGACGCCGCGGGTTTGGGCGAGAGGTCTAGGAGGGCCTGAGCCAGGACACGGGCACCCACTGGGGCTCCAGGCGCACCCGCTCCAGCACGGCGTGGAGCTCGGCCGCGGCGCCCAGCGGCTCCTCCTTGACCAGCACGTAATCCAGCCAGTGGCCGTAGCGCTGCTCCATCCGCTCCGCCGACCGCCTCATGTCTTGGATGTCGTGCTCCTGCGCACAAGATCGGCCAGGAAGAATACAGGTGATGCATTTGATTACTCAAAAAAAATGCCATTCATGCCTACAACTTGGGGGGGGGGGGACTTTTAGAGAGGGGGGGAGTAAACAGTTGAACTAATCCAATCACTTTCAAATGCACGGGCAGGTTTAAAGTGCCTTTGCCTGACCTCAAATCAATGATAAGGTTCGGCTGTTCGAATAGACCTTCCCTGCCGGTCGCTATGGAGACTTGCAAAAGGTCCACACTCACGGTGACGGCGACGCTGACGAGCGAGGAACAGGAGCTGAGAGACTTGCTCTCGCTGTCAAAGACGGAGGGTCTCACAAAGACGACGTAGGGCTTGAACGCCGACGTGCGGAGAACCTGCAATGCCTTCGGGCAAAATGTTGAAATAGAAGAAGAAACAAGATATGTATAACATATACCAATTACAGTCAAACTTCGATTTAGTGTGAATGGTTGTCGGTCATGTTTTACTTTGGCGACGCAGGTGAGAAAAGGAAGCATGAAATCTTAAAACTGAAGTCAACGTTTACATTTCATTTGAACGTAGACAACTTTTGTTTCACCCAGCAGGCCTTTCTCGCCCCCCCCGCTGCCTGGGACCACTTCCGCGTGAGGCGCCGCAACGGTGGCGGCATGTTTGAAGGTAAGGGGTTTCTATGTTGTTACAATAATGTGTGCATATCCGTACAAAAAAATGTACCGGGTGTCTTTGGGCCTTAAAAAAAAAAAAAAAAAAAAAGTGATTTAATTCAACCCCTGCACACTTAAATCGAGGTTCCACTGTCATGCGAACAAACAAGCAAGATCCGCGGGAATCTTGACACCAACCTCCGGTTGCACGTCCACAAGGCAGATTTTATTCTCAAGCAGAATTCTGTGAATGGACTCCAAACTGGTGCCGTACAAATTCTCCTTATACTCCCCGTATTCAAGGAACCTGCAAGCACAACAGGGAAGGCGGCGCGCATGAAAAGCTTCCCGCCATGCCCTTTTCGGGCGGTGCCGTTTTTTGCAATCTACAATGGTCGACCGACTGAAGCGAATCAAACTTCCAATCCATCAATCAATCGGCTCAAAGGCGGAACTCTGCCGTGGCGGACTCACTTGCCCGCGTGGATGTCGGCCTCAAAAGCGGCTTTAGTGATGAAGTGGTACTCCACTCCCTCACGCTCGTGAATCTTCCTGGGTCGTGTGGTGTCTTGATTGCACGTGCGTGCACACACACACAAATGGAAACAAGCGAAGAATAAGAAACAGACAAATGAATACACACACAAATACAAAGAAACACACTCACATGAATATGACTAAATGATGTTTTTTCGAGTGCACTCACGAGGCACAGCCAATCCGTAAAGTCGGGGATTGTCGGCGATCACCTTCTGTTTGAGCTCGGCGGTGCGACTTCCCAGGGATCCTGAACACAACACAGAGACGGACGGCCGCCTCCGCCGCATTAGCCTGTCGCGAGCGAGCGGAGCGCCCGGGGCGGGCCGGACGCCACCCACCGAGCAGCACGATGAGACGGGGCCTCTCGCCGGGCCGGGGCAGATAAAGCGCCACTTCCTCGTAGATCAGGAATTCGGCGTGATTGGCGTCGGGGGTGCGAGGCTCACTCGGAGAACTCTGCCGGTCCCTCTTGAGTCGGAAACTTCTGTGCAGGCCACCTGCGAGCAAATGACAGTTAGCGGACTCGACTCAGCTCGGAAATGTTATTTTTTTTTGGGGGGGGGGATCACTGCAATCCATTCCAGAGCGCGGGTTCAAGGTCACCGATGCGACGAGGCTGCACACGGCCACAAGGGCTACACAAACACCCAAATTGCAGTTCAAGCCCCCAATTTCAACCCTAAGCCCATTTTCTCCACTCTCTTCAATCCAAATGAGGGTCGGATGGCAGCATCGCTTGCAACCGCCCACTTGTGATGATTGAGCCATTGATTCAGTGACCCGTCCTCACCTCTGTCTTTTCCCTCAAGGTCGCCGTCGTCTGTGGGGTGGAGCGAGCAGGAGGAGGAGGAGGAGGAGAGGAAGGTAGGGTGAATCCTCCTGCACTCGGCACAGCGCAGCAGGTTCAGCACTGTGATGTCACATGGCCCTTTTCCACCGCGCTCGTGCTCGTTCTTTAGCGCCACTTCTTTGTTTTGCCACCGGCAAAATTGGCCCGAGCTCTCATGCTTTTATCTGGTCCCAATTACTTGTTGGGTCAGACGATGGCATCGACTACATAAAGGGGGGGGGGTTATCATGACGATGGCGAATGTAGAGGGGTTGACTCCCCGCGCGCGGACGTTTGAGCGGTGAACAATTGTGTCCCGCCAGAAGAGCGACGGCGGATGTGCCCGGCTAGCACGCCATCTCCGACTCGCCGCCAGCCTCGTGATCCTCTCCAATGATTACGAAAGATGTCAGCATTTGCTGCATCCAAGTCGAATCGATGCTTTGCGAAATTGCAATCTCGGGTAAACGTCGGCATAAGCAGGGGGGGGTTTGGACGCTTGGCGATGACGTGGCTTCTACTTGGCTCTTTGCCGGTGGAAAACAAAGCACGTTCTTCGTAAGGACTTGTTCAGCACCAACTAAGCGCAGCCTGGCGGTGAACGAGCACTGTTTATTTTTGGGAGGGGGTGGAAAAGGGTTGGCGTGAGCAGGGTGTGTGAAATGAAAAGCATACAACGGGGAAAAAAGGGTGAGCGGGTTTGTTGTCTCCTACCTCGCTCATTCCGCTCGTCTGAGGGGGCGCAATGCAAGGAAGGACACACAGAATCACTGCAGAGAGCAACAGGGTCACAACCGCCCATCCTTGTCTCCGATTCTTCATTTTACGGCGCCTTTTTGGTTTGCATTTTCAAATAAAGCGAGCAATAAATCACGGTGAGGCATACAACTACGAACCGCTACGGCTAGTAAATCATAATAAATAAAAACAACCGTTAGGCTTAAATCCTTGTATTTTTCTTGTACCACATTCGAATGACAAGGTAAAAATGGACAGTTGACTTCTCTGATTCTCCAGCAGCACCTTTTGTTTGCGCGTCCCTTTTTCATTTAACGTGGCCCCAAAATTGGATTAGGGGATGACACGATAGATTGTGGAGATTAAAGCGCAATCCGCTGTTCTGTTTGCATAATCTGCCTTTATGCATCTCATCGGTGATGCATCTCATCGGCGCGGCGAGCATCGATCTCATCAAAGTCGCTTGTCGGTTTGGGCTTAATTCAGGTAATGGCAGACAGGAGAGCGGCGATTACGGCTTACGTGTGGCCACGTGTGAGGACGACGCGGCGCTTGGGAAGGAGCCCGTCTTCAGGCGGTATCGCAGACGCCTGTCGGAGCACAATTCACAAATAACTCGACTGTGTTTCCGCTTGAAAACAACCGCCGCGCTATACAGTGGAGCATGGAGCAAAAAAAAAAAAATCCATTTCATCCAACAATAAATTCAGAACAAAGACAGTATTAAGCAGAAAAATTCAATTAGCTCACGCTGCACTTGATCTTTACAATGGAACACATTAAGAAAGTCAATGAATAGACACGTCTATAGAAATTAGGACAGGAAGTAGACATTCCGTTTTTTTTTTTTTTTGTTTTTTATGTGGTCACCGACTCCATAATGAAGCACAGGTGGGAGGCGGCCTACCTCTCCTGGAAGTGCGTGGAGGGGATGAGGGCGGCGCGCAGGTTGCAGTCGCCCACTCTCTTGGCCTGCCACCAGGTGGCGTCTTCCTGGCTCACCACCTGAAGGATGTCCCCCCTTTTAAAAGGAAGCCCCGCCTCGTGACAGGGCGCGGCTCGGTCCTCAAAGGGCACGTAGTCGAACAAAGCCCGCAGGTAGACCTGCCCAACGGAGGCGGTCGACACACAAAATTCAAATCAAGAGGATTCGGCCAACTTGACGTCACCTTCATTTGCGAAAGCGCTGACCCTGCTTTCCCTCGTCTTGTCCTCTTCAGTGACTGCTGGGATGATTTTCAAAGTAATGGAGCCCTGCGACTGGGACTGGCGGGAAACAAGGTCACCCTATCAAGCGCCGCTTTGGTCTTCAAAGTGGCGGCAACGCGGCGTTTACCAGAATGTGACTTATTTCGTCCGGCCTTTTGTGAGTGATCAGGTTGCCGTTGACCTCGCGCAGCTCGTCCCCCACGTGCACCAGACCTGGCAACGCAAGACACAAAGGCTGTGACGTGAAATCTCACAGGCTGCAAAGACCCAAGACCGACGCAAGCAAAGGCGCCGTTTCGCCGCATGGCATGAAGTTGGTAACGTCTCCATGGAAACATCCAGGGGCGAGCCCTGTTTGGAATCTCCAAATATGCAATCTCGTGGCACTAATCTGGAGGCTTTAATCTCTGTTGACAGTTTGCGAAGCATTACACAACGTAATCTCCTCACTTGTGTGTCAGAGCGGACAAGGAAGTCGTGTTGCTGCAAAGTTGGGGTTGAAGCCCCGCCTCCCCCAGCAAAAGGGCAAAACATGTCGCGGCTCCTCACCGCTGCGGTCGGCCGCTCCCCCCCTCATGATCCGCGCCACGATGACGGCGCCGGTGGCCTCGTCGCGTCGGATTGTCGCGCCCTGGGTTGGGGGAACGCGAACACTCAAGTAAACCCCAATCGGGGCAGAACTCCGTTTTCAAATTCTTTGAGGCCTAAATCGGACTGACAAGCCCACATTTTGGTCTCACCAGAGGCTCCTTGTTCTTCACCAATCGAACGATCTTCACCGACTCCTCTTCCAGCTCGTCGTCGGCGTCCTCGGGCAAGGGGGGCAGCACCGGGTCAAAGTTCTTCTGGGCCACCGTGTCGTGGGCCGACAGCACAGCCTGGCGGGGCCCGAGCAAGTGACTGTAAGAGCCGCGCTTTGGCTATTCTCGTGCCACGTGCGTACCTTGAGGTGAGGGGCGCTGAGCAGAAGCAGCAGCTCTTTCTCGTCCTCCTCGAGCAGCCCGTTCTGGAGCTCGTCTGTCAGCTGGCTCACAAATTCCAAATCATTATGGGCCAAGGTGAAGAAAAAAAAAAAAAACCAGACCCAAAATGACAAGAAAGGGTGCGCCGCACTTACATCCTCCGCCAGGCAGGAGGCGCTGCGCAGGACCGGCGTCGGGCTCTGCTTCGCGTACTGCTTCAGTTTCTCGTGGATCTGAGAGTTTCTGTTAGTTCCCCAAATTTGTTGCACCAAGGCGCATATGAGAGGGTACTTACCTTCATGAGGTAGCTGAGGCTCTTCTCACTGAAGACCTCTTTGAGGAAGACCAGATCCTCCTTGTGGTTGGCATCGGGGTGCAGCTGAGAGGTGAGCAGGGCCACAGTCTCGTGCAGATCGAACGGGTGACACGCAACGCCACCTTTTGTTTCATTCAACAGCATGGTTTGCGCTCACGGCGAACGTTCTCGGCACCTTGTGAGCTCCTACCTGTGTTTGCAGACGCCGCGGGCATGCTTGCCGCAATCATCCAAGGAGGCTGCGGAGGGGGACAGCAGGAAAAGGAGGAGGGTCAACCGCCACGCCTGACGAAGGTCGCTCCGACGGTGCCCGCTGATCCTCCAGTTCAGTCCAAGGTGAAAAATGTCACACAAGGCCGATTTTAAAACGTAGTCGTTATTCAGTTGCATGCCATCTGTGGGCTTTCACCACGCCGGGAACTTGTCAACGCGCTGCGCCATTCTGCACCTTCATCCACTAATATTCGAGACATATTATTTGACAATAGTGTAGGAGACGATTCGCTTTTCGCATGGTGGCCTCACGATGGACACAAGCTGAACAAACAACAAGCCCTCTTCCAAGCGCTCATGACCATCTGCGGCGTTCATCTTCTGAGGTCGCTCATGTCGCCCGCTGTGTATGATTGTGGGTTGAACTCGCAATGCAAGGTCGGGCTCTGTGATTAAAGCGCGCTGGCCTGCAGCAGCACCCCCCCCCCCAACCTCGAGCCACACGTGATCGTCACTGATTGCACTTGTCGTCCATCCGTCTGTCTGCTCTGCTCATCAACTCAATAACACGAGATAAAAATGTCCTTTCCACGCATTTTGGAAAATGATTGCTCAACAGTTGAATTGACTGTGTACTCTGCCGGCGTGCCGCTTCTTCCTCCCTTCATCTCCTCACTCCCTCTAATTACAAGAGCTCTAAGCCAACGACATCCCCCTTTTTCCCCCCCCCCCCCACAACGATGTCCCTTCCTGGCGAGCAGATGGCGGGCATTATCTCGCCTTGATTTAAGATGGCATCGTTGGCACTCGTGGAAAACAGACACACACGTGGTGGACTACGAGAGAAACCCGCCAGCGAATTGGACGAGGCATTGGCGCGAATGTCTTTGCAACATTCTCATTTAGGTTGTGTTGTGTTGGCAGGGTTGCCATGACAACCCTGATATGAATCCTGCTATTTTGCTCATTTCATATTAGGCAAGCAGCTGGATCCTTGCGCTTTTCTTCCTGAACGACACGGTTCAAAAACAACTTTGGCAATTGTGCCATGAGGCACAAAAATGAAATGTACTATCGCAGTAGTAAAAGTCAGTGGGCTGCGTGACAAGGCCGGCGTCGTACATGGCGGCGGGCGGGCATCAGCGAATTCTCCCTGCGCGCACGCCACCTGTCTGCCGAGCTTATTTTGCCGCGGGATGACTCTGGAGGGAGATGGTGGTCGCCAGGACACAGAAAGGGCCATCTGCCCGTCATGGTGTCAACGTGTGTCGTGTTACGTACGCGTCGAAATCATTTGACCATAAGGATGAAGGCTTGAAGCCGTTGCGTAGGCTGAGAGTCAGTCGAGTTGAATATGTTTGTGCTTGACTGACAGGCAACAGGGTCCCTGGCCTTGCGTTAAAATTGCACACGTACGCGCACAAACATTTGGCCAGACTAACATCGCTGGAGACAGATGGAATGGGGCCAGGTCATCAATTCAGACATTTGGCCATCTGCCCATCACTGTGTGCATGCGCGTGCGTGATATTTTTGCCTTTTTTCCCCTGTCTGTCTATCTGTCCTCTCTTCCATCTATCTGTTAGCGATAATAGGAGCACATATTTGCAACATAAAAATGTCATTGATATGGACTACAGTCTAGGATTTAATGATTTACTGGACCAAATATCAGGTCCGAGATCGAAAACAAATACATCTCGTTATTGACAGAAATATTAATCAAATCAGTGATCGCCCAATGTTGAAATCATGATGAAAAAAAAAATTCCCATTAAAAAAAAAAGTCACTTAAACCGAGAGTAACTATTTTCTCGAACACAGACGGTAATGGAAATAAACTTCTTGCATTCAAATGCAAGTAGCTCGTAAAATGAACTGTAGTACATGTTGGTAGTCAGCGCAAACAAAATCAAACAGACAACATTAGTCGGCCAGTGTTTGTTCGACGGAGCCATTTCCATAATGCACAATTACAAGTGTGGGAAATCAAATCGGAAAGAATGCGGCGGCGAGCAGATCAGGAAGACCGGAAGGCTCTTAAGAGGCTTACAAGAAGCAACGAGACTTCCAAACACCTTCACCACACACAGCAGGGAGCAGGCTTGGAGCCAGCCAGCGAATTGCGCCCAGCTTGTGGCAGGCGAGCAGGCGGCCCGGGGTCTCTTTGGCAAGGCATTGCCAGATTTCACAGCCAAGGTTGTTGGTGGCTGGCCAAGCGTTAGAAGCTTTTGGAACCTCCAAACTCCCTTTGAGCATGTTAGGACGCCTTTGAACGATTGGGGGCATTCCATTAAGATCATTAAATAATATCCAAGGAGAAAAATACGCGTCATACATACAGACTAATTAAATCGTGACATCGAGCCTTAGTTTGAACTCAAGGTTGCTGACGCGAACGCTTCTGTAGTGAATTATTTTGCCTTATGCTTTAATTTATCCTCCTCCCAAAAATGCAATTTTGATATGATTCCCTGAATTACCGATAAGCAATTACTTTGTGTGCTGTCTAGTTTATAAATACATAGCGCTCTGTGTAAATTGACATGGTTTAAAATGAGCAAGTGAAAGTACAAATGAATATTTGTGCAAGTGCACCGGCTTCTCGTGATGAACGGCAAACACGCGCCACATCGAAGATGCCTCACCTTGTTCCAGGCTCCTTTTTCTTTTTCCTTCCTCTTTGCGCTCCTTCTCGTAGTCTCTTTTGTGTCTATTATCTTCACTCTCTCTGCGCCGGCGTTCACGCACGAGCTTTTATTTTATTTGCGCCCCTTTTGCCTCCTCATTTCTCCTCCCATCTCGGCCGGGCGCCATTGTCATCGCCGCGACGCATTTAATGCCATCTTGTAAATTCTGCTTGTGTGATATACTGTATCGAGCGAGCGGTCGTTTTGAAAAGTGATAGAATAACTCGATTTTTTTTCGGTTCACGCAACGCTGAAGGCAGAACGAGCATTCCTATCAGGAAGAGTCACAAGAACTATGCTTCTTGGTCTTGTAACCTAACAACACGTGCGCATTTCTACGGGTAGTTAAAATTGTAGCTATTTTTGGTCGCGCTTGAACGCATCATCGTGAAGCGTAAAATCAACCAGTTACTTTCACTTCCAAACCCGTATCATCTTATTCTTTTCCTTTCGGCTTTTCCCTTCAGGGGTGGCCACAGCGAATCGGTTGCCTAATCTAACCCTGTTTTGTGCATCCTCTTCTCTCACACTAGCTACCTTCATGTCCTCGTTCACTACATCCATAAACCTCCTCTTTGTTCTCCCTCTCGGCCTCCTGCCTGGCAGTTCAAGACTCAGCATCAAGGATGCTGAGTCTTGAACTGCAAATCCGTATCCTGTATATATAATGTGTGGGTCTGTATCTGTGTGTATGTATCTGTATGTGTGTGTGTGTGTGTGTGTGTGTGTGTGTGTGTGTGTGTGTGTGTGTGTGTATGCCAATCACAATGGTGAGGACTGCTAATGATGCAAGGCCATCATGTTGTCGATTCAAATGAAGCCCAACCACCCCCACTTTTTAATAGTTTAAAACAATTACAAGGGTTAAAATGAATAAGAATCAGAATGTACATGAGGTTACAAAATAATATCATTCATTAAAAAAAAAAAAAAACATACAGCGAAACTTGGATCCAACCAAAAGCATGACTTATTTTACAAATGTGCTGATTTGACGCAGGTGTTTAAATATGCCATGTCCGGGAGAGCTGGAAAAAAAGTACAAAATAATTTCAGGGTGCTCAATGTCAATTGAGATATGTTGGCCTCATTTCTTCTGTCGATGTCACATTAGATCTCAGAATCATCAGTTAACGAACGGCCTTTTTCCTGCAATTAGACAAACACTGTTAGTACAGTTCACCAGAACAAACAAAATAACTTCAACTGAAATAACGGAAACTACATAGAACGTTTGTCAAAGTAATTTTACCCTCGCACTCAACAAATACTGGCTACATTAAAAATAAACGAATATGAAGCTCATCAAAACTTAATAAAAACAAGCCATTTTAAAACAAAATTGAATAAAAACTAGCAAACCTGCTCTAAAATCAAATTAAAATGAACCCACACTCACCGTGTACATTGGGTTTTTGAAAGACACCAACCCCTCATCCTCAAGGGGCTCAAACCTCTGTCAAGAAATCAAAACCAATTGAAAAATCCGCACCCCCGGAGGCTTTATATTCCCGGTTAGTGACGGCTTGCAGAAAAGCTTCAACGGGCGTTTCCACGGTTACCTGTGCGCTCGAAGCGGCGGGCGGCGAAGGGACGTCGGTGTCTTCGCTCTCCGAGCTGTACGCCGGGTTTTCAAAGGCCTCCTGCAACATCGGCGTGGGCGAAGGACTCAATCTCATGCGGAAATCGCGCAGAGAAATAAACGTTTCCAACGGGGTGTCGCGACCCCGCCGATTTAGGTTGGAGAGTCTGCGTGTTCAAGTGAGCACCTTGTTGGAAACCGCGGGCTTGGTCTCGCTCATTCCGCTGTGCTCATCCTCGACCTTGACCTCCTCCATGTAGAATGGATTTGTGATGCTCTTCTGCACACAGGAGAAAAAAACGTGAACCCGCTAGCCGGTATTTTTTATCGAAAGTGCATATCGAGTGATCTTACTAACTTAGAGTACAGTCTATGCATCTATCTTTTATCTATTGACCTGGTTTGTGGTAGTGGGAGCGGCCATGGCGGTGGGCGCGCTCCGAGCGCCGGGCTGCGGTCCGTTCACATAGGTCGGGTTGTCAAAATTTCTCTTCTGCTCTGTCTCCTCCAGGGACATACATGGGACCTGACGGAAGGAAACGGTGGTGCGAAAAACACAAAACGGGACAAAAAGTCATTTGCAGTGAAATGGCCGACTGATTGTTTCCACGTTGGGGACTCACCGCCTCGGAAGTGTGCCTTGGTTCAGGGTCTTCCAAGTTTGATGCATTTGGAGGTGGACTTTTTCTGAATGCCAAAAAAAAGTCGGAGAAATGGTTTGTTTTGATGCATTTGGAGGTGGACTTTTTCTGAATGCCCAAAAAAGTCAGAGAAATGGTTTGCCATTCGTATCAATCTTTTTACAGTAAGAGATCAAAAATGAGAGAAATAAGCATGCCATACATTTGGGGGAGAAAAAAAAGATTACAAAGACTAATATTTGGGAAGCACTGTCACGTCACCTCACCTCAAGAAAGGAAGGCTGGGCATGGAAGGCATGGAAGGCATGGAAGGCATGGACGGCATGGAAGGCATGGAAGGCATGGACGGCATGGAAGGAAGGCTGTCCCGGAGTCTCTCCACGATGTTGGACTTCCTCCTGGCGGCGTAAACCAGCGCAACGAGCAGGACCAAGACGATGACCGTCACTCCGATGGCAATGCCGACTGCAACAAGGAGGAGACGTGGGGCGGGTGAGTACAAATAAAGGAGCGCCAGCGATACCACGCCGCGTTTGTATTTGCGTCAACGTACTCGACGAGGCCACCACATGGAAGGCATGGACGGCATGGACGGCATGGAAGGCATGGAAGGCATGGACGGCATGGAAGGAAGGCTGTCCCGGAGTCTCTCCACGATGTTGGACTTCCTCCTGGCGGCGTAAACCAGCGCAACGAGCAGGACCAAGACGATGACCGTCACTCCGATGGCGATGCCGACTGCAACGAGGAGGAGACGTGGGGCGGGTGAGTACAAATAAAGGAGCGCCAGCGATACCGCACCGCGTTTGTATTTGCGTCATGCCGAAGAGCAAACGTGCTGACTTGGTGGCAGACGGCCAATTAAAAGTCGGCGTCATAACCCGACATACCGGCATCGCACTGCGTGTCGCTCCCCGGGACGAATTTGGTGCCCTCGGGACAGGCGCACGAGTAGCCTCCCGGACGGAGTAGACACAGGTGGCTGCACGTTCCCTTGCAGGGATTCGTCACTGCGGAGACGAGCAATGTTTAGCGTGAAGGCTCGTGCCAACTTGTGTTTGTGTCACGCACTGGCGATGGAGTTGTATCGCTGCTCTTGGTAAACGGCGACTTGGGTTAGCCAGGGTCCCACGGTCAGCAGCTTGGTCTTGGGCCCGCTGCCAAACTTGTTTTGCCGGAACACCTCGCCTTTCTCCTGCGTGTTCCAGTAAACGTGGTCCTCGAATACGCTCACGCTGAACGGGTTTCTCACGTCTGGAGGACGGAGTTCAAATTCATGCACAGTTGGGGGAAAAAAAAAAAAAAAAATCCAGGAAGGTTCCTCGGCTTTTCCGTTCTCACCGATGAAGACGGCGGTTCGGCGGTCCTCTCCCGACGGCAGGACCGACTCGATGCGGTTCTCCTTGGAGTCGGACCAGTAGACTCTGTCGTTATTGGTGAAATCGATGGACAGGCCGGTGGGCCAACCCATGTTTTGCCCCACCAGGACCTTCCTCTCCTGACCGTCCAGCCAGCAACGTTCAATCTTGGCCGCTTCCCCGCGGTCGGACCAGTACAGCATCCTGCACAAGCACATCGAGTCGAGACCTTGGTGCGCATCTTACTCTTGGGTGGGAAGTCGCCACCGACAACGCTTTTCAGTCCAGTTCAAGTAAAAAGGAAAACGCTTCCGTTGTTAGAAGCGGAATTTTCCAACCCGTCTGGAACTCCTTTCCTGCCGTCAACACCGTGAGTGGACGGGCTTTGACAAGGGCACTTTGGACCACCTCTGACCTTACCCCAGTCGTGGATTGACCGCTACGGCAGACGGGTGGCCCACGTCGGTCTTGACGAGATGCTTCCTGTAGCGCCCATCCAACATGGCCACCTCCAACCTCCTCAGCTTGGAGTCGGCCCAGTACAGATTCCTACAAGACAAAACGAATCCCCGAGCTGGCTCACCGCCCCGTGTGCGGCCCTGAATGAGCCTCAGTGTGTCAGGCGGGACCTCACCTGCCCACCCAGTCCACGGCAATGCCATCCGGTCTGGTGATGTACTTAATACCGAGGTCGACGGCGGCGCCGACGTTGTTGCTTCCGTCATCCAGCGACGGGATGTAAGCTCTCTTAATGGCACCCGGCGCGGAGTCCTTGCTGGCCACGGTGAAGTACACCATGCCTGAGGGAACGCGTGCGCAATGGGGACTTGCCAAACATCTTTCCCTCCTCCTCCTTTTCCTTTCCCACTCAACTCACTGAATCCAGTCTTGTTGTGGTCCCAGTCATAGTCCAGCGCCAGGATGCGCTCGGCCTCCTCCACGAAGTTGTGGTAGCCTTCCGTCTGCAGGTTGAACCTCCGGATGCGAACGCTCTCCGGTAGAAGCAGCATGGGAGCGGCGCCTGGCGCAGGAAGAAAAGGAGAAGAGCCTGCGGCGTTTGCTCACAAGAATTGGCGGCGGCGCTTCCTCTCACCTTGGGCCTCGCACAGGTCGCCGTTGCCGACTTTCCGGTAGCCGGGGGCGCAGTCGCAATCGTAGCCGCCCTTGGTGTTCTTGCACAGCTGAGGGCAGGTGCCGAAGACCTCGCACTCGTTGACGTCTGCGGCGGGGAGCCCGTTTTTGTAAGTAATAACGACGCAGTTTTTGTTGGGGTGTGCGCGCGCATACCCAAGCAAGTGTAAGTGTTGTCCGGGTCCACGACGTAGCCGGGGCCGCAAGAGCAGATGAATCCCGTGCCGTTCAAGTTGGTGCAGAGCTGCTGGCACCGTTTCTCCTGACAGTTGCGGTCGTGGCCGAAATCTACATCCAAGGGGACATTTTGGGTGCAAGGTTCCAAGAAGCAAGGGCGGCTGTGTTCCTGCGCTAACTTACTGCAGCCCAATTCGTCAGTGCGGTCGCCGCAGTTGTCGTTGTGGTCGCAGACGTAAGGCAGCGGCACGCAGTGGCCGTTGGTGCATTTAAACTGCTCGAGCGTGCACGGGGCCAAGGTGGGCGGGCGGCCTGCAAAAATGGCAGCGCGGTTCATCTCCGAAACGTTTTGAGTGCCATCCTCGGAGGCAATAACCTCTCGTGCTTGGGTTCATTTGCTCCAAATCCATTGTCCGCCACGAGCTATTTAATCCCCGCCCCGCCGACCGCAAATCATTTGTTCTGATTGCCGCTTAAGCTGATTGCACAACAATTCCATATCATTTCCTTCTCTCTTGGACGTCGCTTTTGCGGTTCAGCCATTTCGCTGGCCTCACTGGGCAAAATCTGGACGTATTAGTGGTGTTTAGATTAATCTTTGCAAAAGAGATACATGAGCTTTATTGATTAATTTTTTTTGTCCCCCCATACCTGGTTATGGAAGTAGTTTCAAAAGAAAATTGCAATGCATCCGCATCTTGTCTGTACGTGTGGATGTTGAACTGCGATTTCACTGGCACTGTTGGCTCGTGTGTGTGATATTCAACAACTACATCATATTCAACTTTTTTCTTTCAAGCGTTTCCATGATCTCATTTCGTTAAGGAAAAAGTAGTTTATGAGTTATTTTGTTAGTTGCCGTGAGCATAATGACTCCGATTTAAATGATACTGCCGATTGTTTTGGTCAAGCGCTTGCATTGGATCTCACTCGCTTTTTCAACACCCGCAAACCGAAAGATAAACGCAGACTTGCGAATTGCCGAAACGGCGTCGTAGCGACGCGTGCGCGTTTGAGTCATACAAAGTTCCTCCTTCTCGTCACTGCCGTCTCCGCAGTCGTCCTTCTGGTTGCACAGCAGGCCGGAGTAGATGCAGTAGCCGTTGGCGCAGCGGAATCGAGACGGCATCTCGCAAGTGATGTTGACTGTTGGAAAATAAGGCACGCGCCCTGAGTTGTCCCGCTCCGCTCGTACCCTTTGCTAGCCCACCGACGGCCAATCTCACGGCATAAAGCGAGCCGCTCGTCGGATCGGTCCCCGCAGTCGTCGGCGCCGTCGCAAACCCAGGCCATGTTCACACACAGATGGTTGGCGCACTCAAATTGGGCCTGAGGGCACCATCGGCCTCCTGGGTAACGGGTGGCTAGGAGAGGCAATGACATCATTCAAAGCGTTGAGCGACGGACATCGCGACCGGTAATTACGAGGCACGAAATGACTTTGCCGCGTTGACTCACGACAGCCGGTCTCATCCGATAGATCCTGACAGTCCGGGCGGCCGTCGCACTGCAGCACGGCGGGGACGCAGTGACCCGAGTCGCACTGGAACGTGCCCGGACGACACGTGTGCAACTCTGGACAAGAGAATAGGCCGTATAGAGCAAAAGTAGTGGGACGCCGGCGTTACGATGCGGCGTTGGGAAACACGGAGCTTGTCTCCGTGTTGTGTGCGGCGCGAGGCTTGGACGAGACGACGCTCACCGCAGTCTCGTTCGTCCGAGTTGTCGCCACAGTCGTTGTCATGGTCGCACACCCACTTCCCCGGGACACACTGCTGGTTGTCGCAACGGAACTCGCTCTCGGAGCAGGGCCTCGGCTCTGGAAAAAGCAGTCGGCAGCGTTGCGGCATGAAAACGCAAAGCGACGCCCACTTTGTCACCTACGGCAGTTCCTCTCGTCCGAGCCGTCGCCGCAGTCGTTGCTGCCGTCACACTTCCAGCGGATGGGAACGCAGCGATGGTTGTCGCAACGGAAGTCACCCAGGGGGTCGCATGTCACCTCCTCTGTTGGGCAGACAAAAACAAAATTAGCAGGTAAGCAGTTCAAGCAGGATTTTTGTACGCACTCCGAAGTTGCGGCACTGACCGCAGCCTTGCTCGTCGCTGTCGTCGATGCAGTCGTTGGTGCCGTCGCATCGGGCCCACTGAGGAATGCAGCGGTAGTTTGTTTTGCAGGAGAACTCGGTTTCATCGCACTTGTAATCCGGGCCCACTGGCAGGGACGAATGGATTTGATTCGGCGGCGCATTTTGGTGCGGCGATACCAAGGACTTTGTTATTTGCTTTCTTTGCCTCACTCACTGCAGGTGTCGTAAGGTTCATCGGATCCGTCGCCGCAGTCGTCCTGCACGTCGCACACGTAGCTGGACGGCACGCAGTTCCCGTTGGCGCATTGGAACTGTCCCGGTTGGCAGGTGCGCTGGCTGCAAGTCTGGGCATCCTCGTCGCTGCCATCGGAGCAGTCCCTGGAGCCGTCGCAGTGCCACGACATGGGGATGCACATCTTGTTCTTGCACTGGAACTGGTTTTCCTCGCATCGATGGTCACCTAAAGCCACATAACGGTGTTTGCCTTCCTATCCCCAAATTCAGATTGGCACCCCCAAAAAAAGTGGATTTCCCCGGACGCACTACAGAGAGCGGCATCCTCGTCAGAACCGTCGGGGCAGTCCGGGTGAGCGTCGCACAGGAAGCCGGGATACGTGCAGTTTCCGTCGTGACACTGGAAGCGGCCGACGGGGCAGTAACGAGGCGGGCAAGTTTGGGGTTCATCTGAGCCGTCCCCGCAGTCTGACTGGCCGTCGCACTTCCACCATATTGGAATGCATCTGCCGTGAAAAGACAGTCAAAGGCCGCATTCATATTCGAAAGCCGTGACGGACGCCGAAACTCACCTCTCGTTGTCCCCGCAGCGGAACTGGGTGCTGGAGCAGTCGGCGACGCATTGGATCCTGAAGCCCACGGCAATTCCAATGAAGTGATCCGGACACTCGCAGGTGGCCCTCTGCCCGCCGGGGGCGATCAGACACAGATGGCTGCAGGTCAGGCTGTGGGACGAGCACGGGTTTTCACCTGCGAAAAAGGACCAAATTCTCCGCTGCAGTCCAGGTAGACCACATTCGCTCATACGCTGAATCCCCCCCGCCGCCACCGCCGCCGCATCCTACTTTGCGGTTGCCTGTAGGGGTGCACCACACGAAGCTCGTACGGTCGGTGCGTGTTGTTGCCCATCGCCGTGCGCCCTTCGCCGGTGTACTTGTGAGCCTTTTCCACCGAGTGCGTGTTCCAGTCGGTCCAGTAGAGCGTGTCCTCAAAGAGGGACAGCGCAAAGACATGCGGCAGGGTACCGGCCAAGGCCCGGTGTCGGTTCTTGCCGTCCATGTCCGCATAGCTGCAAGCGGGTCGATTAGAGAAGGGAGCGCGCCGCCTCGGATGCGCGCCCGAGAGAAACTTACTCGAGGAAGTTTAGGTGGGCGTCGGCAAAGAAAATCCTGTTGGTGGTGTAGTCGATGGTCAGAGCGTTGGGCCACTCCAGCTTGGCGGTGAGAATGGCGCTGACGTTGCTTCCGTCCATGCCTGCTCTGCCAATGTACGGCGTGTCGGCCCAGTCGGTCCAGTACAACCACCTGGGGAGGGGGCGACACTCTCATGTCCAGCTTCTCCGGTAGCGGATTCGAGCGAGATATCCGTACCCGTATTTCGGGTTGACCGCCACAGCTCTCGGCCGGCTGACGACGTAGGTGTTGTTTCCGTCCGTAAAGTGGCCGGCGATCAGCTTCTTCATGTAGCGTCCGTCCAGCTCCATCACATGAACAGAGCCATCGGAACCGTCCGACCAGTACAACTTCCTGCACGAGAAGGAAGACCGAGAGGTACGTCACGGACATGATTTTGTGACTTCTCATGGCGCAACAATACCGTGCTTCTGTCCACATTTTAAAACACGGCTGGCAAAAACCTCCGTTGATGCTAACTGTGTTTACGAAAACTGACTGGACACAAACGGTGGCGCAAAGTATTATTAGACGATTTCAGTCAAGCACTCTTGTTTTTATTTTGTCCACAAAAATGTTTTTTGTCCCCTCCAGATTGACTTGAGTTATTCCGTTTCTGACCTGAGCATTTACTCACCTGCCCACCCAGTCGAGCGCCAGGCCCTCCGCTCCGAGGACGCCGTTGTCTACCAGCACCTCCCTGCCGCTCCCATCGAAACGCATCCTCTCAATCTTTCCCACTCCGGCGTCGACCCAATACAGCCGTCTCTCCGAATAGTCGAAATCCAACGCCACCACGTTGGAGAGCCCCTGCAGCACGATGCTCAGCTGGGATCCGTCCGTGGTCAAGTTGCGGATGTAGTAGCGATTGGTGTACAGCAGGTAGGGGTTGAGGCCGCTGTTTTGGCGACAGGTGCGCCCGTCGGGCTCCCGCAGGTATCCCGGTGCGCATTTGCAGTGGTAGGAGCCGGCCGTGTTGTCGCAGATCTGGCTGCAGACGGACGGCGTGCTGAGACACTCGTTGAGGTCCTCGCAGGCTTTGCCGTCGGCCATCAGCGCGTAGCCGGGGTTGCAGGAGCAGAAGTAACCGGTCGGCGTGTCCGTGCACAGCTGGGCGCACTGGTGGACCGAAGGGTTCAGGCATTCATTGATTCCTAAATAAAGAAAAGCAATTCGACGTAGCAATTCAATCTGCGATCACAATTATTGGGCATCAATGTTTCCGTCTTATCGGCTACATGTGCGCTCAAACAAAGGCAACTGAACCCTGAATTAGTACGAAAGAGCGCTTATTTATCGACTTCACCGGGAGTGATTAACTGACTCAATGCGGTCAGCAGCGATTTGAGTTTGATCAACCATTAAAGACCTGATCAGGCTCAAAGCGGCCCATCTGGAACACCGTGAAAATTGCCGGTGGGCCACCATGTGGAGCTATGGAGTTGCAAGGATCCCGTGATACTCTGTCCTACTTGATTGATGAATTTGATTGTTGGAGTCAAGGGTCAGTCAAAATTCATAATCAAGGCCGGAGAAAACTGAAAGTCAAGAGCAGCGTTTCGAATTGTGACATCGATCGATCAAGAGATTTTTGTGTGTGAGTGCTGAGCCAAGAGACTCCAGCGCTGGCCAAAACGTTGCGTGAGACATGCCGTCAAGGAGTGGCGTTTTCTCACCGCAGCCTTTTTCGTCACTGTTGTCCTGGCAGTCCTTCACCCCGTTGCACACGTTCTTCACGTCGATGCAGGCGCCCGACTTGCACATGTACTGCTGAGGCGCGCACGTGGGTTGCGGCGTCACGCAAAGGCTGGCCGCTTCATCCGAACCGTCCAAGCAGTCGCTCTCTCCGTCGCAGGTGTAAGAGGCGGGGATGCAGGCCCCGTTGGCGCAGGTGAACTGGGAGCTGCTGCACGTGTCGTAAGTACAGCCCAGCTCGTCGCTGCCGTCGCCGCAGTCGTTCACCCGGTCGCAGCTGAGGAGGAGGAGGAGGAGCGTCACGGGGTGACATCCGCCTCGGTTGACGGAACGGAGAGTCTTTGACAGCTGTTCTCGTGTTCTACTCACTGATAGGGAAGGTAAATGCAAAGGCCGTTGGAGCAGGCAAACTCATTCATGTGGCAGGTCCGATTTGGGCAGTTCTGGAGCTCATCCGCCGCGTCCAGGCAGTCTTTGTCCCCGTCACACACGTAGTTTAAGGACACACAGCGCGGGTGACCCGGCAGCCACGTCGGGCAGGTGAACTGGTTGGAGCTGCACGTGCGCTGGCCTGTGGGAAACGCAACTCCATCAATGGCTTGAAGGTGAGAGATGAAGGTGAGGAATCGTTACTTTTTTTTCTCAAAATGTCATGCAGCAGGATATGGATGACAACAATAAAAACAGTTTCTCCTTGTTGCATCTCGAAGGGCTAAACGTCTGACCGCATTGCAGCTCGGGAGCCTCGTCGCTGTTGTCCCAGCAGTCGTTGTTGCCGTCGCACACCAAGTACTGAGGGATGCAGTTTCCGTTGGTACAAGTGAACTCGCTGACGCCGCAAGTTTGCACGTGATGCTCTGGAAAGGAACAAGATGCAGTCAAGAGAACATTTCGGGCCGGAAAGATGAGATGAGCCTACCGCAGGTAGGAGGTTCATCGGTTCCATCGACGCAATCCTTGTAGAAATCGCACACCCACGATTCAGGGATGCACTTCCCACTGTCGCACTGGAACTTGTCGGGGGGGCACGTGCGGCCCGCTGTCGCGACACAAATCCAACTTGAGAGCCCGCCAACAAATTGTCCGAAACGAGGCCCGACAGATGAATCGGCTTACCACAGAAGAGAGGATTCTCATCGCTGTTGTCGCCGCAGTTGTTGTAGCCGTCACACAGGTTGTCGGGGTAGATGCAGATGTTGGTGTTGTCGCATTTGACCTTGCCCGAGGGACACTGCCTGTCAGCTGGAGAGAGTCAAAGGCAGAAAGGCAGGGACCAACGATTAATCCAATTCAAATCGAGTAGTGGAACGCAATAAAAAAAAAAGTTTTTTTAAATCTGTATTTCGGCCAGTTGGTAGACTCATATTTTTTGTTTACTGTCATCTAGTGTTTAAAAAAATAAGCACATATTGAATCCCAATATCGAGGGGGGGCGGGGGGGTCCCCTGCTGTGATCTCAAGGCGTCACCGCATGGGAACGAATTGACTCACGGCAGTTGATTTCATCCGAGGTGGCGTTGTCGCGGCAGTCGTTGTAGCCGTCGCAGACGAAAGAGGCGCTGATGCAGCGGCCGTTGTTGCAGGTGAACTCCGAGTCCGGGTTGCAGGTGGGGAAGGGGCAGCCCCGCTCGTCGCTGTTGTCGCCGCAGTCGTCCGTGTAGTCGCAGGCGTAGCTGAGCGGGACGCAGCGGCCGTTGTCGCAGGTGAACTGACTGCCCGAGCAGGTGTGGAAGGCTGCGCGCGTACACACAGCAACACATTACTCCAAACGGGCTTCGAAATGGTTATGAGCGGCATCAATTTCATTTGGAATATTGAATTTTTTTATTTGGGTTTCTTTTTTGTTTTTATGTGCAGCAAATCGACTGTGAATCATATCACACTGCATCCATCAAGGTATGGATTGAATTGTCTTTTATTGTCTCTCTCTCTCTCTCTGTCTCTGTCTCTGTCTCTCGAAAGGACAAGGATGAAAGCCGTCATCCCTCACCACAGACTCGCTCCAGCTCGTCCGTGTGATCGCTGCAGTCGTTGAAGCCGTCACACTTCCAGCTGGCCCTGATGCAGGTGCCGTCGAGACAAGTGAACTGCTCGGGCTGGCAGCGCTTCCCGTCGTCTTGGATGCAGTCCTTGCCGTTGTTGGCCAGGTACCACTTGCCCTCATGGGGACACTGGCACTCTGGTCCCGCCGGGCCTGGAGGAGCAAGTTGCGGTTATGGATTCAAAGGCTGGTCAATAACCATGAAGAAATGGTTGCTGCTTACCAGGCACACAGACGTGACTGCAGCCTCCGTTGAACTGCAGGCAGGAGCTGGAGCAGCTCTCCTGCTTGGACCCGGAAAAGACGTGAATGTCGTTTGGCCGGTACTGAAGGTCCTGGCTCAGCGCCACCACGCCAGAGCCGTCGTCTTTCCCCGCCCTGAAGACGGCCCGCTCCGTCCAGTCGGTCCAGAAGATGTCCTGCTTGAAGACGGTCAAGGCAAAGGGGTACTGGACGCCCAGCATGATCACTTGTCTGTTTGCGCCCGTCAGGGTGGACCGCTCGATTTTGTCTCTGATGGAGGACGAGAGACCGAAGATGAGGCGTTGAGGAGAGAAGGAGGAAAAAAAAAGCCGTGGCCGGCGTCGGCCTGAAGATTCCGGCGAACGTACTGTGAGGCGTCAGCCCAGTACAACAGCCTCTCCTCAAAGTCGATGGCCAAGCCATTGGGGGTTGACAAGCTGCTGTTGATGATGGCCCTCCGGAAGTTCCCGCCCAGCGTGGCTCTTTCAATCTTGGCAGGCCCGGCCCAGTCGGTCCAGTACAAGTACCTGCGCGGGCCACAGAGCGTCCTCATTTCTGACGTGGCCGTTGTCCAAAGGTTCAAAGGGTGGAAGGGAGACGTTTACCCGTAGCAGGGGTCGACGACGATGCCCCGAGGACGGTTTGCGTGGGCGATGATGGTGCGGTTGCTCCCGTCCAGGCCGATCGACTGCACGTTCTGGCGGTAGTAGTCGGTGAAGTAGAGACGTTTGTTGACCCAGTCGAATGCCAAGCCTTCGGGGTCGTCCAAATCTGACAGGAAATTCAGTTGAAAGACCATTTCGATGTTGAAACGAGGCTCTGGCTTTCAAAGCAGAGTTCTCGATGAGGGTTACGCTTTCAAAGTAGGGTTTTCAAATAGCATTGGGGTTTCAAACTAGGGAGAGGCTTTCAAAGTAGGGATTCAAACTCAAAGATTTCAACAGAGGGTTTTATGGTCGGGTTTTAAATGAGAATTAAGGTTTGGAAATGGTGTTTTAAACCAGGATGAGTGGTTCAATGTAGGGTTATAACCGAGGCTTTGGGTTTCAAACTGAGCTTCACAATAGGCTTTCAAACTTGAGTTCGTGTCTCAAGTTAGATTTCAAGTTCATGTTTGTCTCGCGTCAAGCCCATTCAACTCGGGTCGGTGCCAACGGTCAACTCACTTGCCGCGATGATGGTGGGCGCAGTCGTGGGCGAGGTGATGGTGACGTAACCAATTTTGCTCCTGCCGTAGCCGCTGAACTGGGTGAAAAAAACCCGCCTCTCCTTGTAGTCGAAATCCAAGCCCATCAGGTTGTTGCCCAGGTTGAAGGCGGGGAAAGGACTGCTGTGGTCTTGGGGGTCCAGCCTCATACTGGTCAGCGTGTAGTCGGTAGTGTAAACCAGGAAGTCATCTTGCCCGTACCCGCAGGTCACTCCGTTGGTGAGGAGCGAGCCGTGGGCACAGGCGCATTTGGGACGGTCCTGTTCCGGGATGGCGAAGCAGAGCTGCTGGCAGCGCCCGTTGTCTTCGTGGCACGGGTTGAAGCCCACTTGGTGGGCCGCTAAAGGTTGCACGTGGGGGTCAAAGATGGCGACATCTGACGCGCCATCAAGGTTGTCTCGGATTACCTGGTGACAAGAATGCGCCTCGGTTGGATTCCAGAAGTAGCACTTAAGACTCGGGCCGACCCGTATGGGCTCTTTAAAGCCAATTTTAGATTCCGATATTGGATACAATAAAATTCCAACAACTGATTAAACAGCCGTAAAAGACTGTGAGGACTAGAATGACGTCTTTTTTGCTTCTTTCGTGGTCAGAACAATCAAGTCGTGAATTACGTGCAGAACATTCGAGTGCTTTATATCACCTCGGATTGGTTCAGATTGCCCGGCTCTTTACTAGCTTGCAAGAGCTTGCCAAGTTTTCCATCCACCCACAGCATGACGTTTCCGAGTATAGCGACCCCCGTGGGAGACGGAAGGCGACTGCCATAGCGGATCAACTGCCTCTGTGAGCCGTCGGCAGCCATACGAGAGATCATGTCCAGGACATCGTCCGTCCAGTAGAGGAAGTCGTTGGTGTAATCGACAGCGAGGCCGCGGGGCGACAGCAGACTCTCCGAAGCCAGCACGGTGCGGTTGGTGCCGTCCAGCAGCGCCCGCTCGATTTTGGGCGTCTGCCCGCCGTCGGTCCAGAAGAGGTAGCGCTGCTTGGGGTTGACCGCCAGGTCGCGGGGCCTGTCGTGGACGGACTTGAGGAGAATCAGTCGGTACGACGTGTTAATGGCCTGCACTTCCAGGAAGGTCTCACTGTCAAAGGCGTTGGTGAAGTACAAGTTGTCTGAGGAGAGGAAGAAAGATGGGGTTTGAAAAAAAGGGGAAGGACGGTGCCATCACAGTAAACCCCCCGGAGCTCTGCCGCAGACAGCGGTTCGAGGTTCCTATTCAGCCTATTGGTGCCGAATCTCAGCGTCACAGAAAGAGCGCAAAAACTGTGTTCATGATCGAGGGATCGAGTTAGTTTCATACTAGCAACCCAGTCCACGGCGAGACCCTGGATGCCTCCTCTTCCAATGCCACTGAAGACCACCCTCTGGTAGTTTGATCCATCGGTTTTGCTCCTGTAGATGCCCTTGTAGGAGGTGGAGGTGCCGTTTTCAACCCAGTAGATGTAGCCAGATTCGATGTGGAGCCCCAAGCTCTCCTTGGTGCTATAAAAAGCTGCAAAGAGCCAAAATTCACCAACGCGGCGAGAGGAAACTCTGTGGAGCCACGGACGACGTCAACCCACATCCACCGATGGGAGCCATGGCCTCCGAATGATCCGAGCTGTTCACGTGGAAGCCGCGGATGTACTTGGGCGTGGAGACCACAGCGAAGGAGTCGACCTCTTGGCAACGAGAGCCGTCCGGCGACGGGTAGAAGCCTGTGGTGCAGGCGCACCTCCTTTGGTTGTTGGGTTTGGGCAGACACAGGTGAGGGCAGTCCCCGTTATTGGCGCTGCACGCGTTTGCCGTCCCCGCCGAGTCTAGAGGGAACAAAGAGCAGAGAGATGTCGGGAGGGCACATTTGAACCGCGGTCAATATAAATCCGCGTACTGTCTCTGGCGTGCACTTTGACGGCACGCAGGTGGGACAAGCCGCTCCTCATCACCACCATATTGGCGCCCGTCTCTTTGTCGACCCTCTCGACGACCTCGTAGTCAATGTCCGTGTAATACAGATGGCTCTGGTAGATGCTCAAGCCCCACGGGTGAGACAGGCCGCTGACCACCGTCACCCGGCTGGCCCCGTCCATGGTGCCGCTCTCGATCTAAATGAATAAGAGGCACGTGAGCGCCACCGCGAAGGCTCCAAAAGTTGTTCTCGTATACGGACGTACCACTCCTGAGCCTTTCACCCCCCAGTAAAGCTTCCTGGTGGAAATATCGGCAGCGATGGAGCCGATGTTTGCCAGGTTGCCCGTGTAGAGGTTTGTGAGGTTGCTCCCATCCATGTTGGCGCTGCCCACCTTTGGGGGAACCCCGTTGTTTGACCCTCTGTCCGCCCAGAACAACTTCCTGGAGAGGGGAAATAGATCCCAACGTCTTTTGTCCCATCCTTGCTCCATCCAATTAGATGACACAGTCCACGCTTTACCCTCTTGCTGGATCTAAGGCTATCCCGACAGGCGTTCCCATGCCTTCGGGTTTCCCTGTCGCCGTGATGAGAGTGTTCCGATAGAGCTGATTTCCATCGACGCGGATGACCTGAAGGAAGGGTTTTGATTTAGAATTCACTCGCTCTGCATATGGTGTGTACCTTTCGACCACTTCCTGGCTCTTTTTACCTCTATGGATTGATTCACGGGGTTGTTGTAATACATGTTTCGGCTGATCCAGTCAAAAGCCAGGCCGGACGGCACCCCCATGAGAGCACCCGGCGCAAACCGAGACCTTTTGGTGCCGTTGAAGTGCACTCGCCACATGGAACCCTGGCCGAGGTCAAGGAAAGAGGACTCTCACCAAAGATTTTCGGTTACTGTGCCAAGAGGTCCGGCAACAAGCCCGGGCTAGCGGACAAGGTCAGCACGTCCGCTCACCGATGACTCCACCCAGTAGATGAACTGGTCCCGGTCATCAAATTCAATGTCCCGCCCCTGTCTGATGCCCGGCACAGGCGCCATCGCATTGTTGGAGGGGTCGGCCGGGTCCAGAGGGATCCCGAAAAGCACCGACTCTCTTGCCACCATCAAGAAGGGGGTTTCATCTGAAATTGAGTCAACACGTGGATTCGTTTCAAACCAAAGCAGAGCTTACATGTGCCTTGGAGGGGGAAGAAAAAAATATATATACAGTATATAATTTTTTTTCTTTTGTTAAATTTGCTCAATTTGATTTCATAGACTATACATTGACTTGCGAAATATATCTGAATCCAGATCGTGTTATTTTTGACATCTAACTGATGATTTTTTTTTTTTTTTTTTTTTTTACAGTGTATGCTGCAACAAGCTCGACGGAAAAGAACCTCCCACCTTTGATGCAGGTACGTTTATCATTATCCAACGTCCATCCGGACTGGCAGTGGCAGGTGTAATATTTTGGCCTGAAGCCCGACAGCAGGCACAGTTGACTGCACATCTTGTCTTTGCATGGATTGAGACCTGCACACAAAACCACCGTTGGACCTTCGCACGAACTCGACAGGACACACCGTCGGACCCGATACTAATGGGAACGATTGGTCAGTGCCTATCAGAAAATAGGTCACCTGCAGGCTGTTTAATGGGATGGTCCAGAACGAGGCCCATGGGCTGATAGACGCTGTTCATCAGTGTGGTGACGTTGCCGCCGTGGAACTTGTTGGTGCTCATCACTTTGCCGCTGGAGCGCTCCGACCAGAAGACGTTGTCCTCAAAGATGGTCATGCCGTGCGGGTGCTGGAGAACCTGGAGCCCAAGGATTTGGTTGCTAACGGCATCCCGCTCCTGACCTGGCTATAATTTGATTTGAATTCAAGGTACCATGTCGCTCGCCATAACTTGATAGCGGTTCTTGCCATCATAGTCACAATAGTCGATATATTTCAGGTAAGCGTCGGCGAAGTAGACCCTGCGCGTGGTGTAGTCCAGTGCCAAGCCATTGGGCCAGTAAATCTTCGTGCTGACAATGGCCCGTCTCATTGCTCCATCCATGTCAGCCCGCTCGATCCTCGGATTCTGACCCCAATCCGACCAGAACATCAGGTTGGTACTGTGCGGGATGACCAGAAAAAGTTGAACCGATGATTCAAGCAAGAAGCCAACCTAATGCTTCCTTACTGGTTGCGAGGGTCTAAAACCAGGCCGCGGGGGCTGGTCACGTTTTTGCTGAGCAGCACTTTCCGGAAGCGACCGTCCAGAGTGGACACCTCAATGTTCTCCATGACCGAGTCGGTCCAGTAGAGGTTTCTGCCCACCCAGTCCACCGCGATGCTCTCCGGCACTAGCAGACCACTGGAGAAAATCTACAGCAACAAAGGCACCAACTTTGACAGATCCGAATTGGACAGTATGATAATCCATTGAAGGATTCCCGGCGCTCATCGAAAAATACGTCTTCTCTTTTTCCCTGTCAGAATGGCAGAACGCATGAATGTACTCTGCCGAGCGAATACACCACATCAAAGGGAAAACGTACTTCCTGTCTATCGGTTCCATTCTGGTAGGCGCTCCAGATCTTCTTCTGCGAGGCGTCTGCCCAGTACACCCTGGAAGTCACACGGTCAAAATCTACGGTCACAATGCTTGATCCGCTAACCACTGGACTGATGGTGGGCGGCTCTGCGTTGATCCTGTAGGCGATGACTTGGTTACGCTTGGCTATCAGAAGCACAGCTGCGAGAGGGTCTAAAAGAGGAAGACAAACAAACAAAAAAAAGAGCAGCATGTGTAAGCTCCCATCCCTTCATCTTGGCCCGCTGACTCTTGTTAAAGGTTCCACATGAGCTTGAGCCCACTGTAGTTTACTTTCCTGTGACCTTGTTTTTAATCTTACACTTGATAAACACTCCAAACCTATGACAACCTTGGTATGGCGCATGCTTGATATAACTCGAAGACACCGACTTAAGACTCGCGCATGACCTCCTCCCCGGATGACGTGTTTGCCCACCTATAGCTTTGCAAGTGCGCCCGTCTGGTTCCAGCAGGTAACCGAAGGAGCAGTAACAGCGGAAGCTTCCTTTCTCGTTGTAGCACTGCTGGCTGCAAAAGCCCGGGATGAGACACTCGTTGATGTCGTCGCAGGTCTTGGAGTCGTTCAGCAGCTGGAAACCCGGCAGACATTTGCACTCGGCCCCGAACGGTCCTTGAATGCAGATGTCGCTGCAGCCGCCGTTGTTCAGTAAACAGTCCTCTTCGTCTTTGGCAAATGACACACGAGCGATGAATCATATCCAGCTCTGTCTAATTTCTTTTTTCTTTTTTTTCACATAGAAAATGGATGGCCGGACAGATGATGCATTTCAAACGGCAGCAAAGCAAAACTCACTGCAGAGAGGCGACTCATCAGCTCCATTGGGGCAGTCCCCGTGGCCGTCGCACACTTGATCTTGCTGAATGCACACCTGGTCCGTGGGACACATCCACTGGCCGCTGGGACACTGGAACGGCGGCGTGGGACAGTTCCGCTCGTCGCTATTGTCCCGGCAGTCATTTTCGCCGTCGCACAACCAGGCATTTGGGATGCATATCTTGTTTGTGCACTGGAAGTAGCCGGATAAGCAGGTGACGGGCGGGCAGGAGATGTGCTCATCGGATCCGTCCTCGCAGTCGGGATGGCCGTCACATTCCCACTGCTCCGGTATGCAGAATCCGTCGGTTTGGCACTGGAACTCGTTGTCGTGGCACAAGCCCGGGCCTGGAGTGGCTTTGGGCACAGACATTACGAAACTCATTCACTGCACTGACAAATCTTCCTGGCTCAGCGGCTCGATGGCAAACGACGGCAAGTCCGTCGACGTCGCAAAACTTACGACAGCCATACTCATCGGAATGGTCCCTGCAGTCAAACACTCCGTCGCAGTGATAACTGCTGGTGATACACTGGTCGCCGGTGGCACAGGCAAACTGATAGGAGGGGCAGGAGAACTCTTTGTCGGAAGAAAAAAAAAAAGGGTCTTCAAAGTGTGATCGCCACACAGCTGAAACGACGCGGAGCGGGAGTGACGTCATTGCTACCGCAATTTTCCTCGTCCGAGCCATCCAAGCAGTCCTGGTCCCCGTCGCATACGTAGGTCTCGAATATGCAGCGGTGGTCGGGACACAGGAAGTAGGAAGGACCGCAGGTGGTGATGGTGGAATCTGAGAAGCAGGACAAGCGGGTTGACGTCAGAGCAACCTAGTCGGATGTTTGAAAATCGAATGAGAGAGCTGTGTAATACAGTGCAGCAATCTGTTCTGGAATTTGGAAACCAGCGGGAGGTCATTCCAAAGAGATGGAGCGGCAACGGAAAAGGCTCCATCACCGCTTGACCCTCCGCTTACGCCTTGGTACCTGGACTAGCTAAAAACTGTTGGAAACTGGCACAGTTCCACTTACTGCAGTTTTGTTCATCCGAGCCGTCTCCGCAGTCGTTGTCGCCGTCGCACACCCACGCCGCAGAGATGCATCTCTTGTTGTCGCAGGTGAAGGAGTGGGCGGAACAGGTGGCGGGGACGTCCGTGGGACAGTCGTCTTCATCGGAGCCGTCGCCGCAGTCATCCGTGCCGTCGCAGCGCCACACGGGCAGGATGCAGTGCTTGTTGTTGCAGGTGAAGGCAATGGGTGAGCAAGTCGCCCCTGGATGATGGCAAGCAATGACATAACTTCAACAGGTAAGGCTCGCCAGACATCAAACGACATTGCCAAAACAAGACTGAAGTAGACCGTGACTAATAACGCAGTATTACTGTACAACACAATACACGAAGACACCGTATTTGTACGTCCTGGTGTCAGGCGCTGAAATGTTGATGGTATCAACACCTACTCACCGATATTGGTGCAATTGGCCTCGTCGGACTTATCCACGCAGTCCAAATAGCCGTCGCAGCGGTAGGAGTTGGGCCGACATCGACCCTCGTCGCACTCAAAAGAGTAGTCCCCGCAGTTGTTGTCCGGCGGGGGGACGCTGTCGTCCTTGACGCAGTCCTGCTGGTTGACCTGCAGCTTCATGCCGTATGGACATCCGCACACGCGGCTGTAGGACGGAGTCGGGAAGCAAAAGTGGCTGCAGCGCCCGTTTGGCACCGAATTGCAACGACTGTTGATACCTACAAGGAGAAAAGTGAAGCACAAAGTCACTTCCCTGTTTTGTCCTAGTCATCTTGCTCCGACGTTTTCGCCAAGACTGCGTCAACGTACTGCTATGGAGATCGGCTGTGTAGGCCTTGATGTTCAGAATGCCATTGATTCCTTGTCTGATCATAAAGTTTCCTCCTCCATCCCTTTTCCTCATCTCAAATATCGCTCTGGTTCTGGTATCAGACACATACAGGTAGTCTAGCGGGCACATACACATACACACACACACACGCACAAAAAAAAAAGAAATGCTTTACTTTGTATTCTTTCAGACTCTGAAGAACAACATGGTCATGTTTTGTCAGTCATGTATACAAATAAAACAGACCGACCTGAATAAACCGTCAAAGAGTAAGGATTTGTGATCTGCCCAATATTGGCGAAGGTCTGTCTGTTGTTTCCCTGAACGTCGATGTGACCAATTTGATCCAAGAGGGCATCTACCCAGTATAAGCGGTTTTGGCTGTTGAAGACACACACACACACACACACACACACACACACACACACACACACACACACACACACAAGAAAAGTAAAAAAATAGTACTATGAACCGATGCTTCTTAAACAGGAGATGCATATTAAGCTTGCAGTGTACGCTTACGCATAGTCAAGGGCAAGTCCGTACGGCCATCCAAGTGTGGTGTTGACCAATGGTACCGCGTTGGTGCCATCCGGGAAGCTCCTCATGATGACCGCCGGACGAAACCAGTCAGACCAAAACAAGTAGCTGCATTGGAGGACATTTTTGGGTGAATGTGGATCTTACGGAAGAACAGTCCATCTAAATAAAAAGCCAACACACGTCTGTTGAACTCATTTAATGCCAACCATTTTTGATTGGTTTTGCGATATTAAAAAAAAAAAAAAAAAAAAAAATTATAAAAATAAGACCAGGATAAATCCCGAGTAATCGGCCGGCTGGCGACGAGCCTCCAAATGTAAGTGTCACATGACCAATGGAGCGTAAATATGATGGGCTTTAATTATGTTTGATCCATTCAGAAAGAGTGGATTTGCTCTCCCCAAATGTTGAGCATTTTGGAGCCATTGGAGTTTGAATCTGAAATTAGATGTTGATTTATTTTCATGGTGCAAATTCATTGTTGGAAATTCCAATTCCAACTCCGAAATGTTAATTCAAACTGAGACAGCACAGTACGACTTGTCATGGTGGATCTGTTTGTGAGCAACAGGTGGCACTGTAGGGCTCCTCCGACAGCGGCACACCTGTTGCTCATGATGTCATGAGAAGTTTTCTGCTTGAAGGACTCCCTGCGCAACCACTCACGGTCGGGTCCTTGTTTGTGTTTCCTGTCATGGGTTTTTGTTTGTGACTTTAGATTCTGTTTGTTTTGGATTTAGTTTTCTCAGTGTTTTATGAATATGTTTTGTTAGGTCCACCCTGCTCCTCCACCACCTCGTTTCAAGACATGAGAATGACCCAACCAAAAGATGGACCCTGCAGGACCAAAGAACTGGTCCCAGTTGCACCCTTTCTCAGCGGCGCGCGTCTCCAGCTGCCACACGTTCCCCGTTTCCAGCGACGCACGTCCACGTCAAGCCCTTGGGTGAGTTTTGGGGACTTTTGGGACCAATCACTTGAGGGAGGGGGATTGTCATGGTGGATCTGTTTGTGACCAAGAGGTGGCAATGTAGGGCTCCTCCTACAGCGGCACATCTGTTGGTCATGATGTCATGAGTAGTTTTCTGTTCAAAGGACTCCGTCCCCGACCACACACGGTAGGGTCCTTGTTTGTGTTGACGTTTATAGGTTTCTTGTTGTTTTGGATTTAGTTTTATTAACACATTTTAAGTCCACCCTGCTTTCCGGGGTCCCTCACCACCTCGTTTCATGACACGACTTCCAGGAATAGCTGCTGTGATTGGCTCCGAATGACTACTCACCCAGCACTGGGATGCACCGCAATTCCTTTTGGACTCTTCAATCCACTGACGATGTCTCGCCGGGACTTGTCGGTGATTCTGAAGGCCGTCACTGTCTTGTAAGAGCTTGAGGTCCAGAATAAAACTTTGGAGGTCCAGTCATAGGCCATGGCGTCGACGGATGAGGCCCTGTAGCCTGTCAAAATCTGTTGAACTAAAAGGGTAAGAAAAGTATTTCGTTCAGAGTACGGGCAAAAATAACGACAGGTTTGAATAAAACTATTAGCATAGTATCATTCACATTTGCTTACCAGTCCCATTGAGGTTGGATTTATAAATAATGCCCCGGGACCTGTCGTTGTAGAAAATCACCTCCTCGTTGCCATCAAACTCCACAGCGGAGCCGGAAAAAGAGGAGGCGAGCCCTGAGAGAGGAAGTGTGACGTCCTCCTGGAGGGAAATGCTGAGCGGGATCCCTCGCACGGCCATGGAGGTGGCCAGCAGCAAATAGTTCTCTACCTCTGTTCAACAAGTGCAAGGAGGCTGTTAGCAAACGCGTGCCCGTGCCAGGCTTGCCGGCGATTGAGATTGGTTTGCCGACACCGCCTGCCCCTGCCTTGTCGTTCTCTCCGCCAATTGTGCCAATAAGCAACAATGGAGACACAGCTGGGCTATAATTTTCACTTTGTTGTTTCACAAGCATAAAAGCAGGACAAAATAACTAACTAACCATCATGTGCGTTTGCCATTTGCCATGTGCGTTTGCCATAAACTCACTGAAGCAGGTCCGAAGGTCCGCCTGCAGGTCGTAACCATGGCGGCACTTACAGCGGTAGCCCAGACCGTCATTGTCGGTGCGATGGCTCAGGACGCAAATGTGCTGACAGCCGCCGTTGTGACGCCCGCAGGGGTTCATCACTGTTTGAGGAGATGAAGTCAGGCTCATTTAGTCCGGTTGCGTAATGTTGAGGCTTCTGTGGCGGCGCTTACCGATGGGCTGCAGCACTGGGTGTGAGACGACAATATGGCCGGGTCGCTTGGCGGTACGATAGAGGAGCGCTGGGCTGCTGCCGTTGAAGCGGTTGGCTCGCACCACCCCCATCTTGGTCCAGTCCGTGAAGAAGACATGGTTCTCAAAGACGGCCATCCCAAAAGGATGTGGAGCCTGGGTTCCACCATTGAGCACTATTTTCCTGAAAGGCAACAGCAACAAACGGCCATCAAACGCAGTGAATGGCAAACAGAAACGATCCCGCTATGACGCTTACCGGTCTAAACCGTGATAGGTAACGGTTTCCACAGTGTCGAAGTGACTGTCAGACCAGTAGACCCTTTTTGTGACGAGATCGATGCTAATTGCGGTGGGCGTGCCCAGCCTGTTCTTCACCAGCTCCACGCGGTTACTGCCGTCCATGAAGGCCCGCTCGAGCTTCACCTGCTCATTGCTGTCACCCATGTCGGTGAAGAACATGTAACTGAAAACGCAGACGTCAATTCAATACCAATGAATTTAATTTTTGGCCCGTGAAATAAAAAGTTGATTCAAATCAAACTCAACAACTTGACAACAATAATTGCAATTTCGACCCACCCCACCGTGGGGTCCAGGACGAGGCCGTGAGGACTCTGCAGGTTCTCAGCAACCAGCGTGACCCGATTGCCTCCGTCGAACTCGCACATGTCGATGCGCTCCACCGCGGCGTCTAACACGTACAGCTTGAAGTTGATCCAGTCTACGGCCAGGTTCTGCACGTTGTGAACTGCCGCTGTCAGAACCTCCTTAATGTCTCCACCGTTATAGTTGGCAGAATACACCTGGTCCAAAAAAAACAGGCGATGGGGGTGACCCTGTGCTCACAGCTGCTTTTAAAAGTCACAGAAGAGGGCTCACCTTGTTGTTGTATGTGTCGCTCCAGAAGACGGTCTCGCTATGTCGGTGGAATGCCACGCCGACGACCGTATTTTTACCCTGAGCGGGTATCAAAGTTCGAACGTTGCGGCCGTGTACGTCGGCCATCATCACATCTCCTCCGTCGGTGAAAATGAGGTGTGGCATTCCACCTGGAAACAAAAGTTTGACGCAGGCACATATTTTTTATCATGTGCGAAAAACCGACGACAGTAAACCTTTACTATATTGCAGTTTTCGCAGTTTAACAAAATCGCAGCTATTTTTGTTTCTTTTTTGGTAATAGGCTGCCGATACCAGCCACCGGTACTTAAGGCAAAGAATAAGTCTGAGGGATCGAAAACTTTGGAATGTAGACTTTAACACATGCAGCAGTTAGTACCTGACAAATTGGCCTTGCAGATGTGACCCTGCTCCAGGAAGTATCCACTGGCACAGCTGCAGCGGTGCGTCCCGGGCCGGTCTTCACATAGCTGGTCACAGATCCCCCAGATTTGACAGTCGTTGTAGTCTGCGCACATAGCAGTCCAATTCAATGTCATTTCTTCAACTGCGTATGTAAGCAGCAGCCGTCGCTATGCGGTTTTCTCGATCACCTCATCTTACCTACGCAGGAGCGACTGTCATTGCCGACAACAAAGCCATCGGGGCAGTAGCAAGCGCCTCCTTCTGGCGACACGTGGCATAGATACTCGCAGCTCAACGTTGAGCAGTGCCCTAAGCCTGCGGGAGATGCCAATAAAAGTCTCAGTTTACCGACGCATCCTGTTAAAGGCCTCTAATCATCTGCAGAGGCGACATTATAATTTTTTGCAAGCTAAATTACGGCCATCATGTGCTGCTTCTAAGGGCAATTATCAAGTTCCGTCCCAGAAAAAGGTTAATGTTCAACCAAGCGTTTGTAAGGGCGGCGATAAAGTTGAGAGCCGTTATCATATCAAAAGCTCAGCAGCTACCGTCTTAGAAATGCTTGTGGGGCACTATCCTCCAATGCCGATAACCCTTGGACCGTCACTTTTAGCGTCCTATGAAAGTTGGGGATGCGCTCCCGTCGATTGGCAAACTTTGTTCTGTTAAGTGTATGAAACCTTCAGATCTTACCACAGGTCTTCCCGGTGGTGGAGTTGGTCTCATCTGTTCCCCCGGGACAGTCCGCTTTCTCATCACAAACCTTCCCCAGCGGGATGCAAGCAGTGGAGCCCGGGCAGCCCCACTCGCCGGGGTAACAGTCGCGTGAGTTGCTGTCTGCAAGCGACAATTTTTCGAGCGGGGTCGTTACAAAATCAATATAAAGCAGAGAACAGAGAATTAAAACTGAAAAGATGTTTGACATTCTTATTTTTACTCTGTAAGATGCAGGATGCGGAAATCAATTTTGAGGATAAGTTTGAAATCTAATTGGATCAAGAAACAAGTGATTCTGAGGGGCTTTGGCAGATTTGATTGACATGTCAGCACATGGAGGCTGGAGGGAAAAAAAATCTGACATCCAAGGCCCGGAGTGTCCTTACCACATCCTTTTTCATCACTGTTATCCCCACAGTCATTGAACTTGTCACACACCCAGTACTGAGGAATACAACGGCCACTTGTACAGGTGAACTCGTCGCCGCGACAGCTCTGATACACTGCAAAAGAAAAGAGGCAGCAATTGCATGAATGCAGCTTGAAGTCTGCAGCGCTTGAGCAACCTGAACATTTGAACCTCGATGACTTCAATGTTGCCCTCGCTTGACCTTACCGCAGCCTTGCTCGTCGCTGTTGTCCCCGCAATCATTCCAGTGGTCGCACAAGAAGAAATTTGGGATGCAGATGCCATTGGGACATTGATATTCGTGGATGGAGCAGTGATTGGCGGCTGCAAAGCAGACGATCAGACAGAATGAAGAATGACAAATAATTGTGTGAAGGCTGAAATTCACGCCATGGGGGTTATTAGATTTCTCATTCCAAATACTCCTAGTTTTCCCACATCAACATTTCTCACCCCAAAATTTCCCATTCATTCCCAATGTGATCGTTCCTAAATCGTTCCCATTTGAACTTGAAACATTCCGGGTTCTGTATTGTTTACGTCTTCTTCGGTGTGACAATTTTGAAAGCTCTCTCGTACGCTACTGTATCAAATTTGTACCATTTTGAAAAGATTATACCACCACCTACAGGCAAACTTTCCACCACCGTTACTTTTCGGCGCTAGCCGCTAAGCTAGGAGGAAGGAAAATCGATTCATTTGACCGTGGCGCAGGTCTGTAATTTCCTCGGTGGTCTTTTTGTGATCACGAAAAAGTTCTTTACTCACTGCAGTTATATTCGTCGGAACCATCTCGGCAGTCTTGGAGTCCGTTGCAATGCTGAGAGTTGTTGTAACAAGCGCCATTAGCACATGTCTTCTCGGTGCATTGTGGGTAGTCTGAAAAAAACGCGCAAATACATTTGATCATTTCCTTTATTTATCCAAAATAAAAAAAAATTAAAAAAACAACATTGACATTAAAATTCTCTTTTCCAAACAACAGACATCTTTAGAAACGGGAAGAATAGACATCATGTTCCATTCAATTCATTCCTAAATATATTCTAATATTCTTACTGTAACAAAAGAAGGGCTTGGAAAAATACACACAAATAAAATATATTCATTCAACATTTATCTTACTGCAATTGTTTTCATCAGAATTGTCGACGCAGTCCTTCACATGGTCACATTTGTATTTTGCGGGAATGCACTGGCCCTCCTGGCAGGTGAACTGGTCCGGGCTGCAGGTGCGACCGCCTGTTTGATTACAAATACAGAGGAATCAAACTAGAATTCTAGTTTGAAAAAAAAAAAAGATAAAATAGTGGGGTCCTATACGCTCCATACCACACTCCCTTTCTTCATCCGAACCATCCGTGCAGTCCTTCTCCCCATCACAGACAAATTCCAGTGGGATGCATTCACCGTTCGTAACACATTTAAACTGCTGTGAGCTGCATGATGGAGGGGCTGTTCACGCAAACAAAACAAAGGGGGGAGGAAAAAGTAATGAGATTGTTCCATGCAACTCCGTTCCGAATAAAACGCCCCCCCCCCCATCCCCACCCATGCAGAACACTCACGGCAATTGAGCTCATCGGAATCGTCCGTGCAGTCTTTGGTTCCATCGCACTTCCAGGCGATGTCTATGCACTGCCCGCTGGTGCACTGAAATTCCCCGCTTTCACAGCTCCCTGCGAAAGAACACACGAAGCTTGTGATTTATAACAACTCTAGCGGTTCAGAAATCACTGAATGAAATTAAAAAAAAAAAAAAAAAAAAAACAACAACAAAAAGAAAAATATCACAAAAATACATCTAAAACATGGAATATGGTCAAACCAGCTGATCACAAACAGCTTAATTTTTTTTTACATTCATTTAGGTACAATTTTCCCATAGACTGGATGTGAGATACATATCTTTTTTTTTTTACAAGTATTTTTGTGTTAATGTTCAAACTGTGTTTTACAATGGCGGTTTATTACGGGTTCTAGCTCAAAACATGTGATTTGGGGAGTTCAAATCGTAAATGTAATAAGTGTACTTTGGATCTGTGATCCGGATGAGCTTGGAACCGCCCTCAGGCGAAAAACATCCAAGTGTAGACAAAACGCTCATCTTTCACGAGGACTTGCCTGACAGGTAACAAAATATCTGCAAACCTGGTGAAATTGCGACAAAATGCGCACCACATTTTGGCTGGATGTCCCTGATGAACGTATTTTAGAGTCAGCCAGCCCTCCCTCAAACGTTTGACTTTTGTGTCAGAGCAATTTCTTTTAGCTTTGGTGGCTTTGAGTACAGGTACTTTAAAAATAAAGTTGGGACGAGATGAGATTAATTGTTTTCAAAAACCACTTTCTTTTGAAGGAATGTGACAGAATCAAATTTCTTAAAAAAAAATAAAAATTTCAGAGGGGTTATAAACAAATCAGTATTTTAGTTAAAAGTTTTTAACTAAAATGATTCCCCCTACCCCCTTTTTCAGAGATTTGAGGCATCTATTCTGTTCTGGAGGCCCAGCACTTAAATATAACCCTTTATGATTACGTTTGATCATTTTTGTTTTCATTTTAATGCACGGCAGTCTTCAAATGGCAATCGTCTTTTACCTCGAACTGTGCAAATTCCTTGAAAGAGCAGAAGAAGTGTCAGAAGCCGAAGACCTGGAATTTCCATCACTGATCAATCCTCAGCCTTGCCTCTCTATTTGTTCTGGACTCCCACAGAAAACCAAATCATGCTAAGCCGTTATCCCAAAGTCGCACTGGAAAGGGTCGAGGGATGGCAATGTTCTGTGAGCAGCAAACCAGGAATGAGCTCTCCGAGGCGTCCGGCTTTTTTTATGCCTTTCCTCTTTTCCATAAACTTGATCGAAGATGAACTTTTACCCGTTGGCATGTTGTCGACATCAGCAAGAAAACGGAACCCCGCACCTTTTGTCTAACGGCGGCAGCATGTGCACAAGTGCTTGCACAGAAATCAGTGGAATTTATTGGAGCAGTTAAACACGTTGAGACAAAACCAAACAATGAAATTAATGACTGCCAAAAAATAAATAAAATAAAAAGATGTCATGGACATTGTGATGCTCCTTCCCGTGTGCATGCCTTGGCTACCTGGGGGTAATATAATTTTAGACAAACGGGTATTTATTCATAATATTCATCATTCTTCACAGAGGATAAATAATATGCTTATAATTATTTTATATTGTCTTATCTCATTTGTGTTCAAGTATTTGCTGCATAACACCGCCCCATATGATCTTCATTTGCACATTGACGGGGTTTTAGCATCAAGCTAACATTCTTCAAGGTAAAGTTATGCTGTTGTTTTAACTAAACTTGACAGCAAACTTAGCTGAGTGTTATATATTTAATGGCTATGGAATGACATGATTATTTTTTTTGTTTGTTTTATAAAGGTCGATGGATGTGTCAGAACATTTCAACATCCCCAAATCATAAAATTCTCTCATTTAAGGCCTGTAAAAATCCATTCACCGACAAATTATTGTTATCACACCTTCCACCTCCCCTCTTGAGTTTTACAGCATGTGACCTTTTTAAACATCAATCTCCTTAACTGCACTAAAGCACAAAGGTATACTGCGTACACTTCTTCTTCAGCTTCTTTCATCAAACCTTTTGGAGTTAGTTTTTGCCTGTGAAAATAGAAGACGAAAACAACACTGTGGGTGGCAATCTAACCACCATAACAAGGACATAAACAACCCCAAGAGACAAACCTCTGTGTGTGGCCCTGCAAACATAAAGCCAATCATATTCCGCTCCATTGGTCGTGTGACACATACATTAGAAAGATGTTGGCCGATTACTTGAGGTTTATCTTGGTCTTACTTTTTTTTAAATCACAAAGCCAAACAGTTCAACAGGGGTGTGTTGACTTTTTAGATGTACTCTCCTTCCGTCACGTGCTCATTCACATAAACGTCCTCCCGCGTAACTACTTCATTTGGCGTGACTGCTATTGTCCAGTGGTCATCAAATTAGGGTATTCAGTAAATCTCGCTCTCTTTTTTTTTTTTTTTTTTTTTTTTTTTAATTAACGTGCTTCATGCACCAAATATTTCATGGAGCTCTGTCTGGTTAATCTACCATATCAGTGATTCTCCAAGTGTGGCTTGTTGTATGCTGGCTCCCTCGAGTTATACGCGTAGTTGTGCAACATTCAGTCCTCACTCAGCTCGAAAATAAGATGAATGCAAACGATGGTTAGTTACAACTAGATACACAAAAGTATTTTTTTATGTTTCATAAATAGTACATTTTCTTAGTCCTGTCACATTTAACTTTAATAACTGTAAACATTTATTTGAGGGCTATTTTAGTTATGTACAATGCATTTTCAAGATTTTTTGAAAATGTCAATTATTTTAGCGCAATGTCAATGTTGACACTGTGCATATGGAACGGATTGATGACTAAAGGATATTAAATTAGGACGGAAGTGACGCAACCGCGCACAGTACGGCACCTGCTTCCCGCCGTATCATCAGGCATCGCAACAGGAAGTTAATTTGGTGAGTCGCATCTCGTTGATGACCCGTACTAATGATCAGTTTTATAAAAATATTTCACTTTGTTTTTCTTTTTCTACTGTGAGGTGTGCTCAATTAGTTTTCTGATTTGCTACAAGCCCACATTGCTTTGTGTGTTGTTATTTAATTTACGTTTTGTCGAGTGGAAGTTTTGACATGTTGAATTGATAGCAAGTGCTTGTCTGTTACGCAGTCATGTCAGAGACCGAATGCGACTTCACCATTGCTCCCGCCATACTGTGTTGGAGATAATATTTGTTTCTTTTAAGCTTTGCTGTTCGTAATTGTTCGTGTTGTTTTTCATTTGGTCGATTGTGTTAATGGTGTTAGCCCGCAGTTCGTCGCGCGTCACACATACTCTTAACAATATAAAAATGAGATTTTCTGGATGAAACCTCTGCCTCGTTTTTGAAACACGGCACTTATTTTTTTCAAATCGTGTTTTGTTGGTTGGTGAAAAATTATAAATTTCGATCTTCCCATCATAAGACGCTACAAATTCAGTGGACAGTTAGCACCCTCTTGTGGCCAAACAATGATTAGCTCCCAAAAGACAAACGTTCGGAATTAAAATCCATATTTACATTTGATTTAATTTCATGGAAATACGTGAAAAAATGTAAGACTGTAAACGAGTTGTCTTTCACCACCAGCAAAGTATATCAAACTTTAATCACGTAAAAATACAGTACTAATTAAACTGTGTGCTGGATGTTTTACGGTACAGCCCATTTCGAGGGACAAGCAAAGACATCTGAATTCGGCCGTGGCCGTTGGTGATCTATTTTCTGGCTCACACGACTCAAATAAATTCTTAAAAATTTGAAATAAATGACTGTCAATGATAAAAGCATCCTAAATCATCCATTTAAATATCAAAATAGGTCCAGATAAAAGTTTAGATACAGTAGCGTCATCAGATTGACGGTTCACACTTCTGGACATTAGGTGGCAGTAAAAGGCCATTTTTTTTCTCACTGTTATACTTATCTAACTTAGAGTCATATTTGTAAAACTGAAAATATTATGTTGAATTCTAAAAATAAGGACGAATATGTTCAATCTAAATCCCAAACAGCATTTTAATAAGGACAATACTGTATATCGAACCCGGATATTCTGTGTTGAACTCGGGAAATGTAGTTTTGTTTCCGTGTATTCTTTATATGAATTTACGTACGCTCACTTCAGCTTCACAAGTGGCAGATGGTTCTCGCTGCGTACTTAACGCACACTCGTCTTGAGTTTAGTGCGTAGTGATTCCGCTACCTTCTGAAGGCTGTTGGGGGTAAACCTACGCGTTCTCATCAGTTCCCTTTGGTACCTGTCGGCCTATTAATCTCCTACACGTTTGTCCCAAATGTCTGCGACGTGTTCGGGGAGCGGAGAACGCGCAGCCCACGCAAGGGAAGTTCCTTTTGGCCGCAGCGCAACGCGGGAACAACTTAACCTCTCGATGGATGTGAAAAGTTAGCGCCGCCACGACAAAGACGGGGGACTCCTTTGCCCTTCGCTTAGACTTGAGGTGAGAATCGCCGACGTTTGAATGGACTCGTGCTAATCAACTTATGTCCGACCGCGTGAACACCTTCGATTGAAATCGTGCCGTCTTTGTTGACAAGCTCTTTCAGTCAGCTGGCTACGCTGTCAAGCTAATGTTTGTATCCCTCCTGTGGCACCATTCCCGCGTTACCGCTTTGGCGACTAATAGAGCGATTGTGTGACGCTAGTGTCCAATACATTTCAATTAACGCAATTTCCAAGAAGGTTGTGTTGAAAATGACTTAGTCATGCTCTTTATGACCCATTGGCTGATTGCATGGGATGAGCAAAGGTCACGCCACGCTTACCCGAGGCTCGAAACGACTCGTTGAGTTAAATGGAAAACTGTAACGGTCATGAGACTGCATTCGCTGTTTTTTGGGTGGCCCAAGGCAAACCAAGTCATGGGGCCCTCCGTATCCATGTAGTGACTCAAGTTTTACATTCACCCCAGCACAAGGTAGGTCAAGAAACAATTCAAGTTGCTCCCGTTACAATTAAAACCCCTGAGAAAAGAAAATATTTCAAATGACAACTGTACTATTGTTGTGATACCTGGAGTAATACTTTTCTAATCGCAATTGCTGCAATTAGGGGAGGAAAAAAATGCTTCATTTTGGTCAGGTATCTTTTATTTAAAAGGCGGGCCTATGATGGACTTTTTAAAAGGTATCAGTTGCCGTAGAGCCTGCCGATACCGGCAACCGATACCTCAGGCAAAACAAAATCTCACATTAGGTCCTCCTCGCCAGTAGTTGGCGCTACACCGTGGCGTTTTGACCCTAGTGAATCATCTTTTGTCAATGGGTGCAATGACATTTTATGTATCGTACTCAAGAGAACACTTGTAGTGGTGTCAGCTGGAAAAAAAAAGATACAATAAACCATATTTTCATATTGGTAATTGGTGTCTTTGTTAAGGAACCTTTACAAGGTGGTGTGAAATCAGCCCCCGTCCCAGAGGGAATCGAAATGAAATCCAACCTCTCTGTCGCGGCCTGTGAGCGTTGCGCAGCTGCTCTCTCCAGAAGGCCAGGTGGCCCCACGGACAGGTGCACCACGGACAAAGAGTTACAGTTACAGAGTCTTTATTTGCGTTACGGTAGGCATGTCGCTGCGTTATGGCCGTCCCATTCAAACATGCAGGATTAGGGACGTACTGTATGAGAAGACCACAAGGTGATTGCGTAAATCGTCGGAAGCCAGTTCCATGAAGCAGATAACTGCCTGTTCGGTCCTTGTAGCAGTTCCCCTTTCTAATCCTAATTGCAACTCGATTTTTTTGGGCGCTAAATCTTCTCGACGCTTCGCCCTTTAACAAACAAGTCAAACAATATTAGGATCTGCATTCTTTGACGTGTCAAAGCCATGGGAGCGGATTTTCCTGATAAACCAGCTTGAGTGTGAACAACTCATTTCATGATCGGGCTAGTCATGCCCGTTGCAGACTATGACCAACACGCCCCATTTTCTTTTTTCTTTTTTTTTTCCACCCCCAGTGGAACCGAGCAGAGTCCCAGTGAAATGAGTGCGTCTGCGACTCAACGTCTCATTTTTTAACACGCAGCCGTCCATGGAATGAAGATGCACTGGCAAATATGTGAGTCATGTCAAGTTCTGGTTCGATAGCCTCTGTGTGTGTTTTTTTTAAATGCGGTCTTTTCCGGGTGAGCAATGAATTCAGCGAAGATTAGGAATGAGGTCAACAAAGTGAGATGAAGTGGAAGAGTGAGGGGAAGTTTGAAGGCTTATCTCAGTAATGTGAAGGGACAGCAGAGTGGTGATGAGCAGCGTGGTCACCGACTGCCATCTTCTTGTTTGTTAACCCTTTGCTAGTTTAAAAAAAAAAAAAACACTCTTTATTATGCGAAGTTCTTTTTTTTTTTTTTTTAAACCATTGATTCCGGAGATTGACAGTTGGTTTGACTTAACACAATTGCAGGCATGCTGCGGTGGACGTTGTAAGGTCAATCAAACGCGCGGCTGAGCTTGAGAGGAGTCTCGGCAGCGAGTGGGGTGCGTTGCCATGTGTGATGTTTGTGCATTTTTGAGTTCCAGTTTTAAAAACACGAGCTCAACCAACTGGTCTTGATGTTTTTGTGGGCCCCGAGGCAGTCTCTCAGAGTGGAGTAGAGCCACTTTCATTTGATTTCAACATTGACATCAGATGCACATGATTGAAATGTTTGAAAATAACATATCATCGGATTTATTTTAAGATACAGAGGGGGAAATGACATTAGTTTATCACACAGTTAATCGTGTGCAACCAAAAGTGAAGTTATTTTTATCGACTATCTACTTTGGATACGCCCGCGACTCTATTTTCTTTCTTGCCTCTTTTTTTTTTTTTTCTTCTAACATGATCTACATTTCTTACCTCCCCCCTCCTTTTACACGCCCCGCGTGTTCAGACTGAGACGACACCTAACTGAAGTGGCTTGTTTACAGGCCGCATAAGCAGTACATGCAGTTGGACATTGAAATAGCAGTAATGTGGTTACTCTGAAACATTTGATTTGAATGAAAGGTATGACATGTTCAAGAAAAGGTTTTGTGTGTGTGTGTTGTGAAAAAAAGGTGCTCATCACAATTGTAAGATGTTATGGCATTGTCAAGTCTCGGTATTTTGGTATCGGCAAGTACTTGTACTCGGTCATTGGTGTATCCCTAATTTCCCACTTGTTGTGGATATAATGGGTATTGCAAACAATGGACAGTTTAAAAAAAAGACTAATTATTTTTACTTCTTACTTTTCTTCTAAATTCACAGTTATTTGTTTTCCTTACAAAAGCACCGGTACATATTCTTGAGTGCAGATGGTCGGTACTTTTGCCACCGCTGCATTTCCTTAATAATGACTCAAACCTCACAGCTCAGACCCTGTTGAGATTTGTTTCAATCTCCTGCCTGCCAGCTTCGTTTTCTGCCGGTGGGGGCTGGGGGGGTGGGGGGGTAGTGCGCATGCGGGCTGCAGACTCTCCAGTAATCCGCCGTTCAGGGGGCGATCGCACGCGCATTCACGGCGCTCTCGCTGTCGTCGAGCTGGGAATGAAAATCATGTGCTGCGATACGCACACAAGCGGACGACAAGCGCGTTTTGACGGCGCCCACCCGAATGGAGCCACTTGATGACACGCTGCGGTGAATGGAAGCCGTCCTGCTGCATTCAGGGAGAACACTGGGCATGTCTGCTTGGAAAAGGCATTCATGTTAGCGGCATGTGCAGCGAGTCAATGCTTCTCTTGGGAAATGATCGGCTCCCAAAAGAGAGCCGGGGGGAGATCTTGGAGTAGATGACTGACCGTTTGGTGCGCAATTCCCTTTTTCATCGGCATGCGTGTTGACTGCATGGAGACTCGCTCCCTGGCCTCTCGACTGTACTACTGAAGGAAGAGGACACAAGCATGCTTTTTGGGGGGGAGGGCAGTGGGGGTGAAATTATGCATTCTCTAACTGGTTCAATCTGAAAAGTGTATCTGTGTGTGTTTACATTGATTACTGCTCACGTAACAGCCAGCAGCGAATTGATCAGCTGATGTGATCCTGGCTTTTTCTTGCATGGAAAACGACACTCTCTGCATTCGATTTGTGACACTTGTTTTACTGCTCTTAAAGCAAACGGAGGTTCCTATCGTCCTATTGTTTTTTTATTGTAACACTTCGCATGCGTGTGTGTTTTTAAAATCACTTTTGCCTTCCTTATTTGAAGTTATCAGCTGCTTAGACCCTGTGCTCGGCGAGAACATCCCCAGCCAGAAACAGTTGTATATTTTGCAAGAATCTCTCTGAGTTGTGTAATCTTGGGTTCTGCTAAATACCTTTTAGCGTGGGAAAACATTTCCCATGAGGATGAAGTCCACGGCTGATGTGCAGCTGTTGCCGGTGAGGGGGTTCAGCTGGAGTCCAGCTGTTAGCCAGACCGGATGTTTGACATTTGAGATTTTGGAAAAGTAGCATGCCTGGTAGTTTTGCCAACACCCTCCCCAGGAAATGCAGCACATTGATTTTCTCTTACTGGATGTAACTCAGGATTCATGCCGCTATTGATTGTTTGCAACCGTCTGCGTGGACCAGGAGACTGATGTCGATGGCCTGGATGAACCCGGCCATTCTTCCAAGAGGCGGCGACAGTGAACGCGGTATATTTCTCAAAGAGGAGGACCAAGCATGAGCCTGCACAGACTGATGAGACATGTGCGAAGGTACGCGGGACGAATGAAGAGTGGCACTCTGGAGAGAGGTCAAAAATCAACAAGAAAGACAATTAATTATAAGGCACCGCTGTGACGGAGCGACGGACTGACGTGTCTGCGAACTCCCACGAAGCCTGGCTACTTGAGACCGGAAGCTTCGAGACTGCAAAACGGTGCTTCCGACAACCCCTTCTTCTCCAACCGCTCGTCCGTTGCTGGCACTGTGGCGATGGGGAGCTCGGCCTCGTCCCTCACCGCAGAGACAGAGTCGGACCGTGGCTTTCGCGGCAACCCCTACCCGTCGTCTCCCCCGGTGGGCTGGCTCAGGACCAGTCACAGCAGCCCAGTGTGGGGCGGCGCGTTCATCACGCGCCAGCAGCAACAGCAACTTGCTGTGCGGCCTCACCGAGAGCGCAGGTAAGCAACTGGAGTCATTCGGCAGGCATGGAGACAAACGGTGCAAAACCTTTCACAGCTTCCACTTGAAAAAAATACCGGACAAGTACACAATGTATCGGTACCCCTCTGTTCGCATGGACAGAATAGAATTGTCCAAAATCTCAAGGGATGCGCAAGAATGTCGCGCTGTACGGTGTCTCGGCAACACTTCTTGGCGACAGCTCACGGAGAATTTGGTGGCCTCCCAGCCGTGGGTCAACTCGCACAACCTGATCCAATCTGAGGCTTTATTTTCATGTTGTTTTTCTATTTTGGACTGAAAATCTGGCTGAGCTGGATTTGCAGACCAAAATCCCACCACTTGGCCTCTGCGAGCACATTATGGAGCGTTTTGGCAGTGTCGATGGTGTCTCCTGCAGAGGTGATGGAGCTGACTGTTTGGAACCCTGTGAAAACAAGCCCGCGGGGGGCCGATTAGAATAGGAGCTCGTTATGACCGAGCCCTGCCTCAATTTGGGGGAGTTAATGAAAAATTCCATGCAGCGTCAGCATTCCTCAAGACCCGGGCAGCACTTCCAGGCATGAGCCAGCCCTCAATAACAAGTTGCAATCAACCCTTGAGGGTCATCTGAGCAACAGATAGGGACACATTCGGTCCCTGTGAAGACAAAACAATATTGTGCAATTTGTGTTCTTGAAGCTTGAACGTGTCTCTCCAACACGCACTGCTGTGGTGAGGCAAGCTTTGTTGAGCTGTGACGGAGCATGAAATCTAGCACCAAGGCCTTCTGCTTTTGGAGTAAGCCTGTCTTTTATTCTGAAGCATATTTTCCGGCTCCAATGTTTTCAGCTTTATTTTTCTTTCGAGGTGGCGCTGATACTTTCGGCCCGGAGTAAGTTGGCCGGTGGGGTTTCATTAAGCGGCCCTTTGACTTTGGGGAACTGTTTGTGCGGAATGATTTTGTGCCATCGGTTCTCACAGGAGGACACTTGCTGGCAAATCTAGAACGTCTTTTCTTTGAGGTATCCACCGTTTGCGCATTTGTTTGCTGGACTGCAAATGGGAATCCATTCCAGCCGAAGAACGTGAAACTAAAAACGTAGCACTGCACTTTCCGCATACAGCTTCCTCTTCATTTCTTTGCTATCTTTCTGGAGCGGCATCATTTTTAGCCACCCTGACGGCTAATGACTTCGGTAACCCCGAGCATCAAAAGTCACTCTTCGCTTCAGACAGTCAATTCCAGTGACAGTTCTCTTTCAGCGTGATGGATGATTGCGTTTATCGCCCGTCTCCTCCGTGGGCTTTGCCCCTCCTTTTAATTGGATTAAAACTGACCAACACTGGACTGAAGCAGCATGCCTGCTCGCGGCGCCTACGCCTGAATTATTATTTCAGCGTCCTCTTCCGTGTTGAAAGCACCGCAACCTATTTAGCAATGCTCTTTATGTCCTAATGCTGTAGCTTTGTTTGCAAGACTGGATGATTACCGATTCCCCGCTCTCCATGTAACGCTGTCGTCGGAATGCTGGGATCTGCCGCTCATTATGTCAGCGGTCAGGGATTTCCGATCAATAATTGTCACCCTCTTTTAGGTTTGTTGCTTGGGCCGACTCTGCCGTTTTGCTGTGTCAGCATGGCTCGCGCTGAGAGGGCGAATCCCTTTGGTACAGTACCCGGGCTGGTCGCTTTCGTCTCCAAAGGCATCATGGCGTGCTAGCTTGCCTCCTCTCTGCCCGCGGTGCTCTATTGTCACTTCTTCCTCCCATTCTGGAGTGTCTTGTCGGCTTCCTGCTCGCGCTGGCGTTTTGCCACAGTGCACTAAAACCGAGTCGGACAGTTTCCTCTCTTTAAAAATTCCAGTTTCCCAAGCTGTCTCCTCTGCTGACACGTTCACTTGGCAAAAATGAGCACAGGTCATGAAATATTCACGGAGGGCAAAGCCAGAGGTCAGGCGCCGCTCGACTTCTTCCTTTGCCCTTTTCTGTGCTAGAGTTCAAGCACAGTCGCTCGAGAGCTCGTTAGGTAGAATCTTGTTAAAATGGGTGCCGTCGCCTTGGTCAAAAAGCGTTTGTGGTCGTATGTCAAGCTAGCCTAAATCGGCAACAACAGAAGCTTGACTCTTTTGGCAATTCTGTCATTCAGGAGAGGGTTCGGTCAAATTTTAGATGAGATTCATTCGAAAGTAACTGCAACTTGTATTCTCCAAAAGTGAGCCATATTAGATTTTATTTTGAAACGTGTTCCTTAGTCTGTGTCTCTGAAGTTTCCCTCCCAATTGCAACAGAATTTTTTCCCGCTGTGTCATCGCCTCACAGTGTGTCAGATTACAAAACATCGTGACGTGTTTCAACTTGTGTGTCAGAGAGAGAGACTTGTCGAATAGCGCAAGTCCGTCTTGCCAAGTTGCTGACCGATTTGATTGTGGTTGGCCTAAAATCACGGGTGCCAACAAGAATCCAACACCGAATGGCCGGCTGTCAGTTGTGTAATGTTGCCGACGCCGGCTCCATACCAGTTCAAACTCAAAGTCTGATTCCCACAAAGTTCAATGAAGATTTTCGAGCATTCTTTGAATTCTAAATGAATTACTCGTTATAATTCCTTCAAAATGAAAACCTTCAAATATTACCTTCCTGGTACTCTCCTCCTCACTTAAGTGTGAGTTTGTGGTGGCGTTAATATCGAGGCGTCAATTTTCAAGACTGCTCGCGTCTGTGTTGGATTAATAAAGTAAAAAGCTTCTTCAAGGAGCAGGCCAAGCCCCCCCCCCACCCCCCACTGCCCCCCTGGGCCCAGAGCCAAGTTTGGAAAGGGAGTGCTAATGACTGTCGCACAAAGGCCAAATGTCTCGCGGGGAGAAGCTGGCGGGACTCGGCTCACTTGATCTGGTGGCAGAGTTCCGTCCGCAGAGTATATCCGAGCAGCCAGTGGTAGACTGAGGTACACGCGGTCAGGAGTCTCAGCGCCCAGCCTCACCTTCCCATCACGCAACCCGCCATTGTCTTGCATCTATTTGTAGTCTGCACAGAGCTGGGAACTCTGAACTCGTTTGCAACTTTGCGCCCGAGCTCTGCAGCTTTCAAATTCTGTCACAGTCAACTGAGGACACATGATGGCCCCGCAGCCCGTGAGCATTTACGCAAGGGTCATTGATGCCCTGATCCTGATGATTTATTCAGACCGGCTACTTTGCAGCACTGAAATCTTCATTGCAAAGAGCTAATTATTGTAAAGGTGGACTTCCGTCTCTCTCACGCTTTCGCACCACTGTAAGCTCTTGGCTGTCTGCCCGGGTCTGCGATGCCGAGCAACCGAGGAGCTGAAGTGGGCATTTTTAGAGCAGCTTGACTGAACAGGGCCAAGGAGAAAAGGTTTGAGCACGGGTCCACTTATGAGCGAGTTTTTTTTTTCCCCCTCCCCCAAGTACTGTCCTGGGACCACAGGCCAGACATGTGCATTTGTTTTAATGAAAGGCCAGGATTGTTATATTTTATTGAGTTAGGTGTCCCTCATCGGTGCACACTTCCAGCAGAAAAATAAAGAGGGAATGAAGTGCGATGTTTGGAAAATCCTCGAGCATGTGATCCGCTCATTGTGAGAATGCTCTGAGCTCTCATGCCTGCTGCGGAGGGACAGACATGGTACATTTTCCATCCCTCAGCTCCGATGCCAACCAAATCAATTGATTTGACAAAGTTGCCATGCGGCCGACACCACGACTCTGCTCTCCCGCTGTCGAGGAAAACCGCCTGACAGTTATGGAAACGAGCTGTCATCAAGCGTGACGCACTGACGCTCATTTTTGTCATGGCCGTTGTGGGTCCTTGTAGACGGAAAGACCGACAGACAGGAGGATGGGCCTTTGGGTAGCTTGCCGTGTCATCAATTCTACCCTTGGCCAAGCTTTGTGAGATAAAAGGAAAACATTTAGCAGTCGGCTTCTTGGTGTGTTTTAACAGAAGCATTACAACAGTGACTCCAGAATTGATTTCCTCTCGCAGTCTTTTTAATAACACCATAAACACGTAATTTCCATAATTATATTACTAAATTCTTCAATTAATGTTGAAGCAAAGCTAATAGGCAACTCTTTAATTTTTTTTATTTATTATTATTATTATTATTATTTATTTTTTTTTTTATTGTAGTCGCTGGAAGACCGATATTCCCTTCTCTCTCCGGGGGGATGCTCGAGGTTGGAGTGCTGACGTCAGCCCAGGAGAATAAATACTCGGCTAATGGCTTCTGACATAATGTACTGGAACTTCTTCTTCCGTACTTTGATTGTCCTCGGGCGAAAGGCTGAGGCTGCAGACCAACCTCGGCACAAAAGTAAAGCATGTGACTCTGCTCTATCTACAAATAGATTCCACAGACATTGACCCCCACTCACAGCTCTCCGCCATTCCCCTTCGAAGCTCGTCACTTCACCGTGTTGTTGTTCACGCGTGAGCAACTTGAGTGACGGTGACTTGACAGTGTCGGTGAAGACAAAGGCACCAAGTACACATCCGTTGCTCTTCTGAAGCCTGCATTCCTATTAAAGGTCAGCGGGAGAGAGGTGTTCGACTAAGGGGATGGAGAGTTGTCTGTCACGTTTGTCGAGTGTCTGTCGAGAAGCAGCCAGAATCGTAGCTCTGTTATTGTGAGGCGATTGCAGCCTCCTCTCCTCCATCTCTTGCCCTCTCTGCTGCATTTTTTGGCTCTAATCATACAGCCATTGTGGATGGATTTAGTGCCCCCAGTACCCTCTGGAAAGAGATTTAATTTTTGCTCCCCTGAGCGAGGCAATCCTTCCCTCTCACACTCCATTTTTCCTTTCTTATTTTTTCTGGGTCCCATCCTCTCGTGGTCTCAAATGTTTGTTGTTGCCCCCCCCCCCCCCCCCCCCCCCGCCCCCCTACTCTTCCTTTGGACAACCACCATTATCTCAGTGGAAGCAAGTGTTCCCTCGCTTGGTAGTTTATCTTATTATTCACTCATCTCCCCAGCCGTCTTGAAATTTCATTTCCTCGTACTTGTTTCAGAAACCTGGCTTTAATAAGCAATAATCAACTGCAGCGTTCTGCATAAAGATATCGTTGGACTCCTCGTAGTTTTTGTATGGTTTCCGCAATTAAAAAGTCCTTTCCCAAGTTACGTGTCAAGGGTACCATTGCTGCAAGTTGGTGCATCGTGACAAGCCCCCGTTCCCTGTACGGGTACGGGGAAAGTACCTAAAAGGTTCAAATCTGACCTTCCGAATGGAGCTAATAGCAAATGTCCTAATATGGCAATGGTAGAATTTCAAAATGACGTGAGTCTTAACCGTTTGTTTTGGTCTTTTGCAGCCACTCTCACTCTCCTGGCTCCATGGCAGCTGCAGTGCGAGGCAGTGAGTGGTCATGTGGACGCTGCACCTTCTTAAATGTCAGCGGAGCCCCTCGCTGTTCCATCTGTGAGGCGCCTCGCCAGAAACCTGACCTGAACCAGATCCTTCGCCTGAGTAGTAGCGAGGAGCACCGCTGGGCTTGCCCCCGCTGTACCCTCAACAACCCTCAGGGATCGAGAGCCTGCTCCGTCTGCGGCTTCGGATCATCCTCCACCACACCGGCGCCCGCCATCACGACCGTTGCTGCCACCTCAAACGGTCTGCCCCCCGCTCCTACAACCGAACCCCCGACGCCCACCCTCACACCCGCGGTGCTTTCAGAGCCCCAAGGACAGGTTCCTGTGAAGGAGGACATGCTGAGAAGGTCAGAGAGCAACGGAGAAGTGGGTGGCATGGAGCAGCAGCAGCGGTCGGGCTGGGCTTGCCCTCGCTGCACGCTTCACAATACGCCCGTTGCAATGTCCTGCTCAGCCTGCGGCGGCCCCAGGAAACTGTCGTTACCCAAAATCCCCCCCGAGGCCTTGGTGGTACCGGAGGTTCGCACTCCTGTACTGGGGTTTCCTGTGGCCTCGGCAGGGACCGCCCCTCTAGTCATTGACCTAACTGATGACTCACCCCCAGCTCCGCCGTGCGAACCCCAAGACCCTGGCCCCGTGCCGTCCTCCACCTTCAGTGCTTTTTCCTCCCTCCAGAACAACCCCGTGCCACGGAGTAGGAGAGAGGTGCCTCCGACAGGCCGACCGACAAACCAAGTCCCTAACAGCCCAAGTCCCACCTCGCCTCCAAGTGCCAGCGTCCTCCCGCAGCCTGGCCCCCAGCGACCTGCCAAACCCAAGCACGCCCAACCCCAGGAGCCCTCGTACCCCAGCAAGCGCCTCAGTATCTTAGAAGAAGAAGAGCCTCCAAAGAATCAGCAGGCTATTCACCACCCTTCCTCAGGAGCCCCTACCTGGAAGTGCCCAGGCTGCTCTTTAGCTAACCCGGGCGGCTCGTCGAAATGCGAAAGCTGCCGCTCGTCGCGGGCCGGTGCCGACTTAATCGATTTGGGTTGCGAGACGGTGCGCTTCACCCCGGCCAGCCCTTCCAGCCCGGACTTTAGCACCTGGGCCTGCTCCAAGTGCACCCTGCGCAACCCCACCGGTGCCCCAAAGTGCTCCGCCTGCGGGTCGTCCAAGCTGCACGGCTTTCAGGAGCAGCAGGCGTCCCTGCTTCGCTGCTGCGCGTACTGCGGCCAGGTCCCATCTGGGCCCGGCGCGGCATGCTCCTGCGCGCCTCCCTCTGCTTCATCCTCCACGGGTCATAAAACACGGAAACAGGGCAGGGGCTATTCCTGCTCATCTTCAGCCACCGCTTCTTCGAGTCCCGCCTCTTCCGCGAGCGTCTCGTCGAGCCTTCACGAGAGGCCCGGCCAGTGGAGTTGCCCGGCATGTACGCTGCTCAATGACGTGAAGGCCAAGAACTGCGCCGCATGCCACACACCCCAGCAGTACCTCACCCTTCGCAAGGTGATCAAGCCTCTGAAGAGGAGAGAGAGCATGCATGTGGAGGCCCGGCGGCGAAATGATGAGGGTGAAGCCAAGGAGCTGTGGGAGAACATTGTTAGCTTCTGCAGAGAGGTGAGAAAAATGCATCGACACACTTTTTCCACAGTAATATTGGAAGACGTATGCTTTTAGATGTTATTGTTGTTTCTGGAGGTGCAATTGTTTGGTTGGATTATATTTTCCATAGAGCTCGGCCACTATGTTGAAACTCTGTCAAGACTGCGAATGCCCTAAATGCAACGTCGCTTACATGTTCAGTTCACTTAAAAATCTCAGGCCAGCACAAGGCCAGTTCACTCACTGCATGTCATTTATTTAACACCACACAAGTATTTGATGATCATTTTTTTTTCTTTCATTTTTGCTTTGATTCATTGCTTCATTCCTGGTTGGAGAAGCTGTCTGAGAATACTTGTCCCCTCTTCTTTCACATCTTTTCCAGATTCTAGACTGGCATTCAAATGATCCCTCGCTCTTCCCAACCCTCCTCACTTCATTTCTCATGCTCAACCGGTCCCACTGTCGCAACGTTTTTGCGGCTGACTGCCTGGTGTGTGAACATGCTAAAGCAAACGCCGGTCCGGCCTATTTTTAGCCACAGAGCTTGAGTGCTGGGCAGAAATGAGCCGCTTCCCGACGGTGAACGTCCTCACTAAGGGCATCATCTGGACCTGCTCCATTTTAGTCATTCATCATCATTTGTGTTCGGATATCCGAAGCTTGAAGGGTATCAACACCGCCCCGTACTGTCGCTGCACCTTTCGTGTAACAGAACTGAAAGCTGACCGAACAAGACTGGCATCGATTTCTCTTTCCTCCTCCTACGTCACTCTCGGTCTCCAACATTGTTTCGCCAAATTTGTGGCCAAACCTCGAGTAGGTCTGGTGGTGTGACTTGTCACCATTAACAGCTGTTTGCCTCACCACGGCCTTGGTGCTTTCCGCCAGAGCTCCTTTCCGTTTTCGATGAATTAAGTGTGATGCCGTGAAATGCGCCTCGATGCATTCTTGCTGGCCTGTTTCTGCAGGAGAAAACAACAGAGCATCGGTGCCACCGATGATTTTGGCTCCAAGCTTACCACCCTCCAAAAAGCAGGCTTGGATGTTTGCCAGTTTTGCATCTGCTGGGAGCTGTCAGGGTGGGAATAGTCTGTTTTTGCTTGCTGGCATGTCGCCACTGTTTTGGAAGCAGGGAATCGCGCTCTGTCAACTTCACAACGCCTTCGACTCTGAATCACTGTAAGATCAAGCCCCATGAGCAAATCATTTCAGATGTCAGCTCCGCACAAGAATGGAGTACCCTTAAAAGATCAAGATGATTGTCTTTTCGAATAATAGTCACCCTTCCAAGTTTTTTGTTTTTTAATGTGCGGAACATAGGCCACTGATTTATTTGGGTCAGGTACAAAAAGTGTTTTTGCACCAGTATGAGCAGAAGGCCAAAAATTGTGCTTTTACATGACTTTTGACAGTTGTGGCATTTTCCCTGGAGATTCAGAGTCATTCAAAGGACAGCAACCGGATTATTTAATGGAGTAGCTTACAGGCTCAGCATGATCCCTCGGTTCCTGGTCTTCATGCACTTATTTTGAAGTCAAGGGCCCAAGTGTTTTTGTGTGACAGTAAATCTACCTGCATCCATAAAACGTCAAAGCTAGTTCAAGGGGTTGTGCATAAACTGTTGAACTACGCACTCTGCGTTGCTACATTGCGACCTTGGATGATGGCGGCGAGGCAGCGACACTCGTCTGGTCACTAATGCGGCATCAAGGCAACCGAATTGAATTATGGGAAGGGACTGGCGAGCAATCAATTTTCCTCACCGGGAGCTACCAGCGGGGCATCCGCATCACATCCCCTGCCTGACTCAGTAGTTGGTACCTATGAATACTCATACTTGTATTAGTCTGCAAAAAAAGTGGGATGGGTAAAGCATCTAGAATCAGTCATCCCTCTCCCGCTCTATAACAACTTGTGTGTGTCTGGTTGTCCCGCCCTTTTCCTTGTCTCCTTTTCACGTTCCATCCTCTCCCGTGTCCTTTCTCACCCTCAATTAGAACACGGTGAACTTTGTGGACGACAGTTTCCCCCCGGGACCTCGTTCGGTAGGCTTCCCCGAGGGCGACAGCGTCCAGCAGCGAATCAAAAAGTGGCTCCGCCCCCACGAGATCAAATGCAGCAACTTCAAAGACCGAGGCGTCAAGTGGTCCGTTTTCCGCACACCGCGACCTTCTGACATCCTTCAGGGGCTGCTGGGAAACTGCTGGTGAGCTGTCGGAACGCATCACAAGGAAGTAGGACGCTCCTCGGGCTTCAGAATTTCACTTTTACAGGCAGGCCGTGCTCGCTATGTGCAGAAAAATCTGGAGTGCTGCAATCACATCCCCTCTCAAAGAAGTCACGCTTCCTCACATAAAAAAAAATTTAAAAAATCTCAATTTGTAAAGTCTAATGCAACATCTTCTAACGTGATAAAATAAAAGAATTTGGGTTTCATTCCCCTTATTTAATGGAAATGAAGACCTTATCAGAACCGACGGCTAATAAAATCTGTGCTCTGTTCATTGGAGTGGAAAAGACAGAAACGAGAGTCCAGAGTCCAGTGTATTTTTTTTTCTTTCCTCTTTGCAAAATATTTCACAAGCCCCGAATTCAGCCTTGCACATAGAGCAGGAAACGATGGTGACTAACACAAAGAAATGATGAAGAAAATATGATGTCAGAAAGAGTGGAGAAAAAAAATGACTCCCCCACAATATAAAAGCGAGATCATAGTGCAAAGATGCACAAATGGATTTGACAGGAAGATAATCCAAACCAAGTCTGGAAATGTGCTTTATCTTTCTGTTCTTGCTTTGCACCCTTTGGGGTGTGTACATGATCATTGTCTCACACAAACACACACACACACACACACACAGGCCAAAGTTAAATCGCTCACAAAGTTGTCCCGATACTAGTTTCATCAGCAGCGCACACGGCTTATCAAAAATAACCCTCCCTAGAGCCAAATCCTCTCACTCTCAACAGGATGTAACCCAATTTTCTCTCTCTCTCTCTCTCTCTCTCTCTCTCTCTCTCTCTCTCTCTCTCTCTCTCTCTCTCTCTCTCTCTCTCTCTCTCTCTGTCTCTCGCTTTAAAACACACACACAGGACATGCGCACACACAGTTGTTCTAATAACTAGTAAACAACCAAGCACGCACCAGCCAACCCAAGAGAAGTAGTGTAGAGATGTACCAACCACTCCTGTTGATGAAAACGGCTGAAATACAAGCTGACAGCATAGTAACCAAGGATGGGCAAAAAACAAAGAAAAAAATTCTAGATAGATAATTATTTTTTTCCCTTTTGTATTGTTTTTCCGTTGGCAAAAAATGTCCATCATTTCCGACAATTCCAACGTGAAAGCGGCTTGTGATCCTAAACGGTGATGTTTCACCAGCATTGGTTCATCCACGTTGAGCCCACAGATGCCATCGCTTGCTTCCGTCAGCACCGTGTGGATAAGCGTCGCCTTCTTGCTTTTTGTCGGTCCAGGTTCCTCAGCGCTCTGGCCGTGTTGGCCGAGCGTCCCGAGCTGGTGGAGAGGGTGATGATCACCAGGACGATTTGCACCGAGGGGGCCTACCAAGTCCGCTTATGCAAAGACGGGACGTGGACGACGGTGCTGGTGGACGACATGCTGCCCTGCGACGACTACGGTTTCCTCCTCTTCTCCCAGGTGTGTCTGCACGCCAGGCGCCTGACCCGCTCATGCCGGGGGAACGGTACAACGATGTCGCGCTGAGGTCTGTCCGTGTGCGACTGACAACGCCGTTGATCGATTGCCTCGTGAAATGCGACCGCTCGGGCAAAAGTAATGAATTTGCGTTGGTTAGACCTCTGTTTGGTGCCGAATCGTTGAAATGCGTGAGCTCTTTCAAATCTTTGACGAGGCCGTTGGGCGGACTTTTTTCCCCCGCTTCCCCCGAACTGAACAGCAGCCGAATCCCATTTCTAAATTCAGAACCAAAACAGGAACAAAGCTGGACCATTTTAAAAGCCGTGAATTGGGAATCATTTGTGTGATATGACTGTCCCCAGTTTGACACGTGACACTGTGCGTGTGTGCGTTTGTGTGTGTGCGTGGTCGTTCCAGGCCCAGCGGAAGCAGCTGTGGGTGGCACTGATCGAGAAGGCCCTGGCCAAACTCCACGGCTCCTACTTTGCCTTGCAGGCGGGGCGCGCCATCGAGGGCTTGGCCACGTTGACTGGGGCGCCTTGCGATTCGCTCATGCTGCAGGTCAGCTCCACCAACCCGCGGGAGGAGCCCATCGATACCGACCTGATCTGGGCCAAGATGCTCAGCTCTAAGGAAGCGGGGTAAAGCAACGCTTCCGTCATCCTTTTTTTTTTTTTTCCCCTCGGACAATACAGATCAGCACAATGTCAATGGCAAGATGTCGTGAAAGGTGACCGGTGTTTTGGCACAGGTTTCTGATGGGCGCCTCGTGTGGAGGAGGCAACATGAAGGTAGATGACGCTGTCTACGAGTCTCTGGGGCTGCGGCCTCGCCACGCCTACTCCATCTTGGATGTCCGAGATGTCCAAGGATACAGGTACGAAACTGGTCCTGGAACCACTCTTTGAGAGGGATGCTCCTCGCCTCGCCTCCCTCCCTCATCACGCTGCACTTCCCGCTTCCAGGTTGTTGCGACTGCGCAACCCGTGGGGTCGATTCTCATGGAACGGCAGCTGGTCGGACGAGTGGACGGACTGGCCTCAGCACCTGCGTCACGAGTTGATGGCGCATGGAAGCAGCGAGGGCGTCTTCTGGATGGAGTACAGCGATTTCATCAAGTAAGAGCCGGCGGCTGCGTGATGACACAAAGTTCACAAAGTTCAAATCCGTCATTTGTCAGGCATTTAAACTTTCCTTGCGCTCGCACAATTTTTGACTGGCGTTTTCAGCAAGTTGAATCAGTCCTCGTACTTTTTTCGACGATTCTTTAGCCAGCAATATTTGAATTTTGGCTTCCCTGTTCCTCTCCCTCACGGCCCCCAGGAGTCATGACAGCTCATCGACCCTCATTTCCTAACAGGATATTTCGTCAACGCTCGCGTTAGCACGCACGCCGCGCCGCAGTCAGTCACCGCGCTCGGAGTTGCGACGGCCGCACTGATATTTTGATGCTCATTGAATGTGAGCTACGCGCCGGCTGCCCAACGGGCGCTTTGTCTCGATTCCGGACGTGCAGCCTTTGGGGAAATGTGAAATGCGTGAATTTTCAGTTGGGCACATTTGATCTGAAGAAAAGACGCTCTCCGCGCAAGCGGCTTGAAAAAGCCAAGGCTTGTGCTTGCTGAAAACGGCGAAAAGGGATTCTCCAAATGTCATCTGAGTCCAGCGCGATGGACACGTGTCATGTGACGGCGCGTTTAGTGAGCTCATGCCCCTGCGGATTTTACCCACCATCTGCTTTTGGCAGCAATCTGAGCAACGCGGCTGCTGCTGCGGCTGCTGTTGTTGTTATGTTGACACGCACCAAATGCCCTCATTTCAGCAGGGTTCTACCACCATGCCTGCATTTTCTTGTTTTATTCGGTTCATCTTTCGGTGCCTTCCATTTTAAATGTTTCATCATGAAACAGAACAATTTCATGAGCCATGTGAAATAGCCAACCATCCATTTTCTGTACACGAGACTCACGGCCAGTGTTTCAGCTTCTGTCTGATAACTTGAGGGAAAAATCTAGCGGCATCGCCTGATTGCTGTTCAATATATATGATTTTGAACTATGGGGAAGAAAATAACTATTTCTTCCATTAGTTTAGAGTCGTTTTCATATTAGTTACAGGAGGTGAGTTGATTTTTAAATTTAGTTTGAATTTGTTTTCATGTAGAGATGTTTATTGAACGAAGAAATGGCACGATTGTGGTGGCTTGCAATAGTGGAGCACTGCACTGCGTCATACTGAGAGTGTCCGTGTGCCAGCGTGTGTGTGTGTGTGTGTGTGTGTGTAATCAAACCTTTGCTTCAGTTCCTTCGGATCAACTTGTGGGGGGAAAAAAAATTGAAAGTCATAATTGTGTGTGTGTCTCTGTGTTTGTTTTTGTGTGTGTGTGTGTGTGTGTGTGTGTGTGTGTGTGTGTAGAGAGTATATGTGCGCAAGGGTGCGCGTGTCGAGTAAAACAGGAGATGCAGTAAGTTCAGGAGGGCCGAGGCAGCTGTCCTCTTTGAGCAACTCCACCTGAAAAATGTGTTTGGCCCAAAGGACCCCATCTGTCTTTTTGTCCCGCTTTCCCTCCCACACGTAACGTCTCGGCCTGCGCCCGCCTGGACCGAAACAAAAGCAAACGAAACCAGGAGGGACGCAAAGGCAACACAATGGCTTTTGAAGCCTCCATTTAGAGAACGGCGTCTCCTCGCTCCTCTTCCCCACAGGTACTTTGACTCGGTGGACATTTGTAAGATCCACTCAGACTGGCAGGAGGTGCGGCTTCAGGGATGCTTCCCCAGCAAAGCCAGCGGGCCGGTGACTGTCATGGCGCTCACTGTGCTGGAGAGGACGGCGCTGGAGTTTGCTCTCTTCCAGGAGGGAAGCAGGTAAACGTGGACACGTGCACTGGATTCACAATCAAAGTAGGTATCCTCATCCATCCGTCCGTTATCCGAGCCGTTGATCCTCAGGAGCTTGCCAGCCAATCGCATCCACGAATGGCCATTCGCGCTCACACCTCGGGACCATTTAGAGTGGGGAATATTTTTAAATTCTTATTTCTCTCCCCCAATCACCAAAACTTTGACCCCCTGGCTCTTCAGGCGCTCGGACACGGCTGACAGTCACCTGCTGGACTTGTGCATCATGGTGTTCCGGGCCTCCTTCGGGACCAGTAGCAAGCTGACCCTGGGCCGCCTGCTGGCGCACAGCAAGCGAGCGGTCAAGAAGTTTGTTGGCTGCGACGTCATGCTGGAGCCCGGCGAGTATGCCGTGGTCTGCTGCGCCTTTAACCACTGGCAGATGAACGTGAGCGGCTCAGGAGGGCCGCCCACGCCCAGTAAGTGTCTTCAAACTTGTAACCGGTCGATTTCACGGTGAGCGGTGCGTTGGACACAAAACATGGACCAGAGGAAGCGGGGAAAATTCGCAAGCAGCACGTTAAAGGTTGAGATAAAACCATCCTCAAGCAGTTTGGTCGCCTCCGACTTGTGTTGCACCTATTGGGAAACGTAAGCTCCATTCACACAATGTAGAGATAAGCCAATGAGAACCAAGTCGCTCACCGTTGAAGAAATGTTGGCGTGTTTGTCGTCCAAGCCTTTCCGCTTGTCATCTTGTAAACCAACCGGATGACGGTTTTCCTCCCCGCAGTCTCCAGTCCAACCGGCGGAGCCCAGCGCCGGCCCAGTCAGGACTTCCCCGGCTACATCCTGGCCATCTACAGCTCCAGGCAGGTGATGGTGGAGCAGGTGGAGGCGGCTGCCGCCACGCTGGCCGACGCCATCATTCTTCTGACAGAAAACAAGGGTGAAAGACACGAGGTGCTTGTCTCAGTCTCCGTAAGAAAAGCCAGGACAAGGGATTTGGGGCTTTTTTTTGGGGGGGGGGGGTGATGAGATGTCTTTCTAATCATACTGTAAGCATTAGAATGTTTCCACGGGTGGAACTTTGGACCCAATTTTCCTGTGTTGTCAGGGCCGCGAGGGCATGACGTGCTACTATTTGACGCACGGCTGGGCGGGGCTCATCGTGGTGGTGGAAAACCGCCACCCCAAGTACTACCTCCACGTCTCCTGCGACTGCACGGACAGCTTCAACGTGGTGTCCACGCGAGGCAGCCTCAAGACCATCGACAGCGTGCCACCTTTACACCGGTACGTGCTCGGGTTTCACTTGGGATCGGCCTCGTAACCGTTTGGGATTTGTCATCATTGTTCGTTTTTGGTTTGGTAAATCCAATTCATTTTTAGGGCAGGTTTGTGTCGGATTTGTTTTCATTCTTTGAAAAATGCTTCGTTTTAATTCTGTTTGAAGTTTTTTTTTTTTTTTTAAATATTTGACGTATTTATTGAGAGCAGGATAAAGCAACAAAACACGGCTCAGTATTGCGTAAGAAAGTAAAACTGCAATTGTCAAACGCCAGTTTGACCTTCCTTCATCTGTACGGTCTACAGCAAACCTGAAAGCAGATGAATTGACAAAAACAAGCACAAAGGACATTTTAGTGAGTTAGAATTGTACTTCTTTTTAGTTCATTTCATAAATGTGACATCATTTCTTTTTAGTTTCCATTTCCATGATTTTTTTTTTTTGTTGTTGCAGTTTTCACATACATGAACAACCTTGTTTTGAACTAAAGAAAAAGTGATGGAAGACGCTTTTTGTGTTTTGTGATGAGCGCACACTATGAAGAAATGGGTCTGGGATCAAAATGAGCACGGTGGCACCGCGACAGCTCATGAATCCTCTTCTGAGTTGAGTCCACCTGTAAATGATTCACTGGTAGCGATGCATGTTATACGACACGTTCTCCCCGAGAGTTATGGCCCACATAAAAGGCAAGTACAAAATGTCACCCCCCCCAGATAGTTTCCTCTTTTAAGGCGATGGCTCCACTCCTTTTTTTTTTCCTTTTTAAATCGTCAGCCTTATTATTTTGCAATGTCCTGACTCGAAGGTTTCCTGAATTCTTCCTTGACAAAGGCAGAAATGCAGGCAGGGTGTAAGCCCCTGGACCGAATCCGAGAGTCAACGCTAAAGAAGAATATTCACCCGATTTTGTTTGCATGCCCTTCTCTGAACGGTCCCTCGTCTCTGCCTTTCTTCTCTGCCTTTCTTCTCCGCGTCCCCCTCCAGGCAAGTTCTGGTGGTGCTCTCCCAGCTGGAAGGAAACGCCGGCTTCTCCATCACGCATCGGCTGGCTCACCGCAAAGCCGCCCAGGCCTCCCTGGGGGACTGGACGCCCACCAAAGCCACGCACAGCCCGCAGCTCACCCCGGACATCGACGGCCTGCACCGCCCCAGGCCGCTATGACCACCGTCCTCGGCGGCGCCCGTTTATCCCACGGACGCTGAGGCCGCCGGAGCGCCAGGCGGGCGACGCCAGAAACGCGGACAAAGATGTGGAATGACGCACATCCGAATGTATTGCTCAACACTGAAGCTTTCTTGCGGCCCCTCAGGATGAACGAGGGCGGACTGGCGCCGCTCTCAAGCCCCGCTGACCGCTTGCGTGTGCGTGCGGTACAAAGCGCTGGATGTGGACTCCCAGTGCTGTAACTACTGAGCCATTTGCAACACTTCTTTTTTCCGCTTTCCGCCCACTCGCTAAAACAACTGGGGGGGGGGGGTGCACTGATTGTCTCCCACCCCACTGACACGACGGTACCTATTGAGCCAAACCTACTTGACTTTGTATTTTTTACTTGGACCATGCAGGTACAGGATGGATCTTGGGCGTTTTGCGGTGCATGTTCCAATGTCTTTGAAAAGTTCCCGCTCTGTCTCGAACTCAGGACCAAGCCGGTCGTGTGTCATTTGCACCAGAGTGCAGTCAACCCCCCGCCCGTTGGCCACTTTGGTGTTCATGTCCTTTGGCCCCATCTTGGAGCCAAAGAACTAATTGAAATAAGGGTAAGAGGTTCATTTAGCCATTTGAACCGAGTGCTCTGAGGTGAATCATTCCCGCAAGAGATCGTTTGCACGGCATCTTTCGGCGCCCGCGATGATGGCTTGCGTCCTGTCAAAAACCAACATGGCCTTGTCTTTTGTTTTCCCTGACACGTTATCCAAAAATCAACGCACCGAACGGCCATTCGATATGAAATGACTTACATTTGGCTCGGATATTTGTGAACACAATTGGCAAACAGAATCTGTTTTGCAAACCCCACACCATGTCGACTCAAGGATTGGGGCTTCTTTTTGGAAGCAGGTTCTTTGTTTGCCGCTTCTTTTTTCCGCCAGCCAGGTGTTGGGAAAGCAAAACGCCGGATTGATTTCACGAAGATGAGCTTTGTCTCAATGCTGTCGTCCGGCTCCTTCCTGGCTGGATTCCAGATTGGCGCAGTCCGGATGCTCTTTCCTGGCCCGCGGTTCGTTGAATTCCCAACTGCCGGGGTGTCTCAATGAAATCCATTCATTCTGCGTCTTCCACTTGGAAGGTCACCCAACCAATACTCGTTTCATTTTGACAGGTTTTGAGGCTTGGAAGGGAGTGTGAGGGCCGCTGTCTGGCCAGCCAGCCGGCGTCGTCGAGTCTCTCGAGAGGGGAGGCGTTCAAGTTTACTCTTGCAGCCCTTGTCGAGCAAAGCGCGAGCCTCCGGAGGGCCCCTTGCCATGCAGAGATCCCGTCAAATTATAATAATAATAATAATACAATTGTCCCCTCACAGCTCTTTCACGGTCATCGAAATGACAGCATGAGTCTTTTATTTGACTTGAAAGCCACAAAGCTTCGGACTGGCTGACTGCGGCTGGTTGGAATGCAAATGACACACGCCGATTAGGATTTTACATTTTTATTCCAGCCATCATTTTATCTTTAAAAACACCTTGTGAAAGTTTCTGTGATGCGAAGCAGCTGTACTTACCCCAACTACCACAATCACCCCCAAAGAAAAATCCTCATGTATGTATGACAACTCTTGGATATTTGCACTGAGCAGCTCTGCGATGTGATTTATTTGAATCGATTTGCTCGCTTGTTGTCGAATGATTTGTCATTGCGAAAGAATGTGATGGTGCAAGGTCATAGCCAATCACTTTATATTGTCCACCCCCCACCCCTCGTCTCATTGTCACTTGGGTTCTCGCTCCCTTTTTTTGTTTCAGTGGCGCCCCCTGCTGCTAGTATGAGGATGCTACAATAGCGACGACACGCCGTCCTTTGAAAGTGTACAGGTACAAAAGGTGAACACACAAGCTGTGTTGTTTTAACCCCCCCGCCCCTCCACCTCCCCAAAAAAGTGAATAAAATAACTTTTAGATGAATAGTAAAAAACCAAGAAACAGCCTAATGCTGACAAATGTGATAATAATAAAATGTCAATCCTTTTGGGGGGCTCGGGTTGTGAATATATGTGTATACATATGTATGTTTTAATATTTCAATCTCAGGTTCCAGTGGACCAAATAAAAGTTCTTTTTTTAAATTAAGCACAAGCATTTTTTGTTGTATTAAACCATGGACGGGTGGATGAATTGATTGGCACCAATAAGCCACTGGCGAATATTACCCCGAAAAGAGCCGAAAATCCCATCACTAGTTTGAAAATGGAAAAAGATGGAGGTGGGAAATATATTTTTTGTTTTAATGTGGTTTCTGTAGGAGGACAAACATGGCACAAACATTCTTAACGTTTTCCAATCAAATCCAAATCAAATTTACAGTATTGGCCAAGTATGCAAAAACACAAAAGGAATCGACTTTCCCAGTTCCAACTCGTCCAGAGAAACATAATCATAACAACAATGACACTGACCTCTCGCGGTCACAACACGTATGCACGCAGTCCTGAATTTAAAATGATAGCCTTTCATAGAGTCTTCTCAAGTCATAAACATCATCCCCAATAACAAACAGCAGTAATGTGTGTGTATATGCATGAATTTATTCGGACTTTATGGTTTTATTTTGCCCCCACATGACGCCGCATTATAAATTTGTAGCTTGCATGCGGAGCACGTGTCAAGATCGATGTCATTCAGACTAGATGGACGACAACAGGTGGTTTGACGTTCTACCCCAAGTCGTCGAAGGAGTGGAAGGAGGAGCCGCGTAGCCACCTTCATTAACAGAGCTTCAAAATGGCAGAAAGTGTGAGGTATGTTTGTATTTAATAGGCATTCAATTTGGATTTTTTTTTTTTTTGGTGTTGAAATGTTCTCTACAAAGTCGCGCAAACGCACTTGCAAGAGTACAAGCAGCGTTTGCATGACCGTTTTTTTTTAATGAACGTGATGAGACCGTTTTTAAGCTTTTTCTAACTGTATTTCACTGAATTTTGCAGCTTTACACAATTGCACTAATTTGCCTCTTTGCGTTGTCGCATTAAGATCCTAACACTCCTTGTTAGACGTTGAGTCGGCCCACCCTCTCCAAGTACAATTGCCTCCTGCTAAAAATAGCTCATGCTTGTAGGAGCCAGTGGGGTTGATGCTTTTATCATGATTAAGTTTGCTCTCTTTCCAGAGTGGCCCCACAGACGGAAAAATCCATGTCTTTCCGTTCTCAAAAGGAAATGTTTGAGAAAATGGAGGAGTCTTTCAAAGTGTGCGCGCAATGTGAGAAGAGTTCGGAACAGCTGGCAACACCCCAAAGGCTAAAGCGCTGTTCCAGGTCAACTGAAAGGAAACCTATTTTACCCGTCGGAAAGATATCCTATTTTTACTCTTTGTTCTATAACAATGTTGGTCCTTTACAGATGCTTGAATGTTTATTACTGCTGCAAGGAGTGTCAAAAGGGCAACTGGGCCAAGCACAAGAAGTTCTGCTCACAGCTGCGTCTGGCTGCCATTGACAGAGTGGTGGAATGGCTTGTGTTCAAAGGTGTGCAAGTAAGAAAAGTTCCAGCTGTATTTGCCTGATCCTTTCGGAGATGGCAATGGCAGTGCCGATACTTGGGTAAAAGTAGAAGTACTTATTCGAACTCCCTTCATTCCAAGAGTACGGCTTCTGAAAGTGTCCTTGAGTACAAAAGTAAAAATGAACTCTTTGTTATGAAAACACACTGCTCAGTTTATGCTACCCGGAATAAGTTTCTCAAAACGGGATTTCTTCTTGACAAATGTCACTTGGGGAGGCTTGCCACTACCACCTGCTGATTTAAAAACACCAAACTCCGAGAGCAGGCGTTCGCGCCAAGCCGCCAAGACTTTCCCTGTCTTTGCTCCAAAGCCTGCTCGAAGAGTTCGGTGTTATCATGAGTGGTGCTAGGAGTTAGCTCGTCACGCAACAGATCCTCTTTCAAGAAAGTTGCCATGAATAGCATCAGTCGTACTTGGCGTTGGAGCGGTGTGATCATCACATTGATGATCCTCAAGTAACTGTTTGAAAAATGGTCACCTTAATACGGTTTGTTCTTTTTGGGGCTCTGAATGTGGAGATCCGGCTGCTGTGAAGGGCGGAGCCGGATCTACTCTGTGAGAGAGAGGGCTGTTGGCCATCCCCAAAACATTCTCAACCATTTGCCTCAACACCTTGAACAGAACATTGATGAAATGAACTCGACAATCCAAACAATCTCGAATTGCTTTCTGGACCGACTTAAGCGTGTTTCAAAAAGTGGCCACTCCATCCTTCCGTTTTTCTGGAGGCGGCCCTCAAAGGAAAAAGTTGGCACACCCCTGCCGTCAACCTTCCGAAACTGCCGCTGAACTTGCGTCCGTTGGCAAGTCGTCAAGAGATCGATACCATATTTTGACCAAAACTGCAGAGCCTAATCTGTCTAATGATCACTGAAGCCAAAGAGAAAAAAGTGTGACTTTTGGAACCCTCTTGTTTTTTTTGCAACTGGATTCTTTTAAAATGAGCCAACAGGAGATCTTCCCTTCCCAACTGACAAGTGGTCCAAGCCCGAGTCCGAGATAAAGAGCTGGGACCAGTGGCTCGCCATGCAGGGAGATCTCACCGCTCGCTTGCATCCCATTATGACTGGAGCGAACATGAAGGCCTTGTGGAGCGACGCGGGCAGGCCTCGACCTGAAGATGAAGACTTGAAGCAGTCCCTGTGGAGGGTCTGCAGCGAGTTCTTCTCCAGGCCTCTCACCATCGCCTGGGGGATGAGGCTCTTCGCCCTGAACCCTTATTCCAAACCTCTCACCGTCCACCTGGTGGGAGCCGGCCAGAGCGAGACTCTGGCGGCAAAGTTGACGGATTACGACGAGCTCAACAAGATGTACCCCGGACACCAGGGGATAGAAATCGTCATGGTGGGACCGGAGCTGGTGAAGGGGCCCATCATCAGGCCTCCGCTCAGGGCCTTTGGGCCAAGGCAGAGGGTCTACATCAGCGCCTACAAGGGCCTCTACCATCAGTTCTGGGAGGAAGTGGTCGAGAAAGAGGAAGCGGCCAAGCCGGACCTGGTGGTCGGATTTCATCCTGGTAAAATCATGTTAAGGTCTCTCTATTACCCGCCTCTGGTCACGATCATTAAACTTCTGTGTGTGTGGGGCGGGGGGTTGACCGTGAAGGGTTTGACGCCAGTCAGGATTTGGAACAGGGTTGGCTTCCAACACTACTACTTCTGAGGGATTATGAGATTCCATCGATGTTTACTGCCCTGAGGTGAGTATTTGCGATGCTGGGTTGACCCTCACTTCCTTTTTCTTTGTGACATGCGACAGCCGCGAACACTTCTCACCTCTTCCTCCGCAGCGAGGCAGAAATGAGCTACTCGTTGCAGATCCTGCTGGAATTGGAGGTGAACATGAAGGGAAGTGGAGCCAACCCCTTCGCTTCACTCAAACCAGAAGTGGTGGGCTCGTGTCCGAACAAGGCGCCCGTATACTGGAACTCGAACTACTTTTGCTTTCGAGGTCTACTGGAGACTGCGCAGTTTAAGGAACCAGACGAGGCCTAATGGCCACAGATCTGTCCGTGCAGTTCC